ACCGTCCTGGGAAGAATAACGATAATGCTGACGCCCTCTCTAGACTTCCACACCCTGAGGTAGAAGAAGACCATGAGACTGACGAGTGGGAAGGTCAAGTTACGGTTGCAGTTGTGAAGGCTTGCTTCAATGGTCTCAGCCCTAATAGTGTCCCTACCTCTCCACTGAGTTTGCATGTCATTGAAACTATGCCGGGTTTAAGTTCAGATGAGTTGTCCGCATTGCAACATGGCGACCCCAATATTGGCCCGGTACTGCAGTACATAGTACAAAACAGACGTCCGAGTACAGGGGAGCGTGCAAGTCTTAGTCCAGTGTCCAAGCGGATCCTGAGTGAGTGGAAGAAGCTTCAAGTTTCCAACGGCATTCTCTACCGGGTTGTACAAGATCCGAAGCAGCTCGAGGAGAGGAGACAAGTTGTTCTTCCTTACAGTCTACATGAGGATGTCTTGCGGGAGCTGCATGATCGTGCCGGTCATATGGGAGCTGACCGCACTCAGGAGGCAATTCGGCAGAGGTATTTTTGGCCGAAGATGTCTGCTCAAGTCCAGGATTGGTGTGCTGCCTGTCAAAGATGTTCTTTGAGGAAGCAAGGAGAGAAAGCCAGGGCCCCTCTTGTCTCCATCAAGACCACTGCCCCTCTAGAGCTAGTGGCCCTGGATTTCTTGACCTTAGAGCGATCGTCAGGTGGCTACGAGCACGTGTTGGTCATCACTGACCATTTTACCAAGATGACGGTAGCCGTACCCACCCGTGACCAGACTGCGACAACCACCGCGAAGGCTCTGTGGGGAAAGTTTATAGTTCATTATATGATGCCCGCCAGAATACATTCGGATCAAGGTGCCAACTTTGAATCAAAAACAATCAAGGAGCTGTGCAAGTTATACGGTACTACGAAAAGCCATACAACCCCGTATCATCCAGAGGGCAATGGGTTGTGTGAGAGGTTCAACCGGACCCTGCTTAATCTCATAGGTACTATGGAGGCTGAGAAAAAGCGACAGTGGGCAGACTACCTCCCAGAACTCTGCTTTAGTTATAACAACACCTGCCACTCCTCCACTGGGTACACTCCACACTATCTAATGTTTGGTAGGCATGGGAGACTCCCTGTTGACTCGATGATTGCCCCCTCTGAAACTGGAGGCAGTGTGACCTCGGACGACTGGGTGTCCAAACATCACCATCGCCTACAGTTCTCTCATCGCATCGCCAGAAAGACCCTTGATTCAGCAACTGCTGCCCAGAAGAAGGCTTTTGATAAGAAGGCAAAACATCTGCCCTTACTTCCAGGAGAACGAGTCCTTGTCCGACTGAGAGGTCTAAAGGGGAGGTCAAAGATACAGGACCGTTGGGAATCAACCCCATATGTAGTCTTGCGGCAACCTAATTCGGATGTGCCTGTCTATGAAGTAGAGCAGGAAGGGACAAAGAAACAGAAGGTTCTTCATCGGAATGCACTGTCTGTGTGTCATTTCAAACAAACCCCAGTACCAGCAAGTTCTCCTTCAGCTGACCCACCTCCCAACCCAGACTCATCGGATCCCTCATGTGCCAGCACCCTGAGTCCAGAAGCCCCGGTCTTTCGTGCGAGAGGTTGGCTAGTGACAACACCCGCCCCCAAGCAAACAGGATGCAGAATATTGCCAACACCACCGCAGGCAGTATTGGCAGAAACGCCAGGAGAGCATCCTCGGAGGAGACTTCCTTCCCCACCGATTCAACCAGTGTCCCCTGTCCCGGAACGTCCCCCCATGGAGACGAGTCTCCACCCATCTCAACCCGAAGTTCCAAGCCCAGCCATAACACCGAGACCAGACTCTCCCATTCCAAAACCAGTGCCAAGACGTTGCTCCAGCAGGAGTACGCGAGGGAAGCGTCCGGAACGTTTGTTTTTTGAGAACTTTAAGTAGATTATTGAACACTTAGGGGATGTTTTTCGATTTTTCTGATGTCGTTCGGATATTGGCAGGGACGCCAATCGATTAGCGTTGGAGGATGTAAATGAGGCCCCCTCATTTATAGATCACAATCTCTCCCCCCCCCCATTCTCTTTTTGTACATTAAACAAATTTAACCAACAGGTCTCCTTCACACTTAAAGTTAAATCTTTGCTCTACCCTGGTAACCCCTACTTGAAAGTGGACTGACCCCTGAGCCCAGAGGGTGCAGTGGTTTGGGGTGGTGTGGCCTAACATGCCTTAGTGCTATTTTTCCCACCAACTAAGCCGCTGTTTCTTCTGTTCCCTCTCCATTTCAGGTAGGAAAAGTTACTTTTATTTACATCTTATCCTTAGTTTTCACATACAAACAGAAGTGGAAATTGTATAGATTAATATAGATGTTAGTTTGTTTGACTTTGATTTCAGGAAGTATTGTTTTATTGTAGTTAAACTTGGAGAAAGTTAGTGACTTTCATAGATATTTCCACTATGTGAAACAATGGTTGCACTGGTCCGAAATGGCCTTATTCTGGATCAGAGTAGACTTTTTATTCTTTATTTTTCGTTTTACTGAAGTCAACTGTGATCAAGTAGCTAGAGTTAATGAAAGTTCATACTTCATAGATTTGATTGACATTGTAGTTTGATTTGACTTTTCCAACTTGTATAGTATTTTTTAGGGAGAAAAGTCGCCTTTATATTTTAGTTTTCTGAGACAGTGCCTTTTTCACTGTACAGTGAAGGGTATACTCAGACAGCATGGTCCGAGCCCTGGGTGGACATTCCTTTAGCCATATGGTAGGATAATTAACTCCATGCCCTGGGGGCTGGTCAGTAGAGGCTGAGGACTAGGCTAGCCTTTGTTTATGTCTCCCAACATAACAAACCCCTTTTATTTCGTTATCAGAGGCAAGTGCCAGGCTATGAGAGGTTCTAGAATCCAGACTTCTTGTTTCATAGGAAAGACTATTGTTTATATTAGTCTCCTGTCTCCTGAGCTAGGCTGAAACTGTCTTGTTAGATTGTTATGTTTTTCTTTATTTTGGTTTAAGTGTATATAAAGTGGCTGGAAAGAGTGTCACATTTGCCCCCCCCCCCTTTCTTGTCAATATAATAGTCTGTTTTGGTTATTTGGCCAAGTTCTGACTTGATAACAGACTGTCCAGTTCTGAGTCGAAAAGAGCTAATAAATATTATCTTGTTTATAGGCCTATTTGATGTAGAGTAATGGCTTAAGCAAATGCCTTGGATTTATCCTGTTAATTGTTTCTTTATGAATGTAAAGTTTCATTTCTCACTTTTATTGAGACTGGATATTTGGTAATAGTTGTGTTTCCAATCAACACTGAGTTTTTAGTTTTTGCTTTATGTAGTCGGCTCGATCAGGATAAGTTTCAATTGTTAGGAATTTACTTCTTTTAGTTCTTCCATGACACCTAAGTTTATCCTATAGTTTTGCTTTATCAGGATTATATTAACCATGTAGTTAATGTAAACTCTTTTGATTTAGATATGTTTGGTTTAATAAATAAGTGCTATTTTTCCCACCAACTAAGCCGCTGTTTCCTCTGTTCCCTCTCCATTTCAGTCGGTTATAAAGAACAAGAGTCACCATCCTTTACATATATATATATATAAGGTGCACGTATCCACCAGGACTTGTGCTCAAGGTGCTACGTCATTATTACCCCTGCTCATTGGGCCCATGAAATATTCCAAATACCATCTCAGCTCCCTGGGGAGTATACAGCTCAATGCAGCCTGTTAGGCGCAAGGAAGCTAATTCAATCACAATAACCATCTCTGCCCTCACAGGCACCCATTTACTCCTGGGTGGAGAGAAGCAATGAGTGGCAAAGTGCCTTGCTCAAGGGAACACGCACCATGACCCCAGGCTGGACTCGAACCCACAGCCTGCAGCTTTACCCGCAGACCACAAATCCAATGCCCTTTTATAACCATGAGGCCACAGCACTCCGCAATATGTGGTGTGTTGATCACTAAAACCATAACTTAATATTTCACAAACCTGAGCTTACTCCTACTCGGGGTTTGGTTTTATATCTAGCTTCAGTATCATTTAAATTAGAACCCCCCTGTTCAAACCCAATGAAAATTAGCCTCGTAACTGTAAGATTCGATATCCTTGAGGCAGAACAAGTACCAGTTTTGAGCTTTAGTCTCTCAACTCAAGGGCATACAAATCTCCTCTAGCCAAATAAGCCATAAATGGATTCAAGATTTGAAAACAAAGTGTGTTTTTTTAATATCTGAAAAATGTGTACTTGATTGTAAATTGAAATCAAGTCGATTTCAAGTTACTGTCAAGTTTAAAGAGTGCCTAAAGAGGGGAAGTGCGGCCTAGCGGTTAGGGTTCGTGACTCATGATCAGAGGGTAAGGGGTTCGGGTCCAGCTACCGGCCTTAGTTGCGTCATTGGGTAAGCCACTCTTAACTGGACAGTAAAGGCACTCTTAACTGGACAGTAAATTGAAATCAAGTACAAAAACCCTTCGCGTGCGATCGCAGCGAATGGGGGTGAATTGGGGCCTTGATGTGCGACTCGAACCCACAATCTCGCGGTGCAACATCATGACCCTATCGCACTGCTCTCCAAACCCTGGAAAAAAATTATATACCTGCGTACGTATCATAAAAGTATTGTAGAGGGCGCTAAACAACCATGTTTGTGGATATGTAGTTTGGGAAAAGAAAATTTGTGGACTGCGAGGGGGTGGGGTTGCACGACCCCTACGGGCCCCCTCCCCCTTGGCTATGCTGATGACCTTTTCCTGAGTCACGGCATCCGGAATAAACCCGTAACCATGGTCACTAATGTAGGCTAACAAGTTGTCAGTGGGTGGGCGGACTGGGAGGGGGCAACATGTTTTGGTGGGGGGGGGGGGGCATTCTATATGCCCCTCCCTCTCTGGCTACGCCGCTGGCCTTACCCTGTTTAATCACTCCATCTTGAATAAAATCTCACCCATTGCATCAGACTTGGGTGCACGTCTCGATGATTCAGGAACACAATTCTTATTTTTGGTGTTCATAGGATGTACAGCTATTTCAAATTGCCTTGAAGTGTTCTGCAGCACGTCTTCTGACCAGAAATGTGACCGATGTGATGGTGACTATGGCATGAGTGATGACAAGAGACAATGCATAAGTATGTATGTCAACCATAGGTGGCTGTAGTAGAGAGAGAATTGGGGTATGGGGAACATTATTTGCTCCTCTAAGGGCTGTGCATTTTTATACAGTTGAACTTGGATTCAGTTGAATATAGAATATTTGAAACAGACCAGAAACTGGGAATAAAGCTTGATCGAGAATAAAGCTGGTCCACTGAATGAGATTTGCACAAACAATGAGCTTTTGAATATTGTAATGGGCGTGAAATTACTGGTTCAAGTACTAAATGACTAGAGACTAGACAAGAATTCTGACTTCATGGAGAGATCGTGCCGTTCTTCAAAGAACAATAATGGTTGTCGGCACACGCTGTGCCTGATGCTTACAATCGAATGCCTCTCTAACAATGAGGTAGAGCACCAGTGTGCATTGCAATCGAACGTTGAGTAAGACGCGCTCCTTATTCTAGACCGGGCCAGAACCAGTCACGATGTGAACACCGATCCCTGACTGCATGGGCTCATTTTTTGTATCGTTCGGGCGCGTACAGGGAAATAACCTGCTATCGGTGCAAGGAGCTAGCGCATCATAACAAAATGTCTCTTGCAGTGCTCTGATTAGTCATAAACCACTGCGCCAAATATTAATCTTAATCACAATAATCCTAGCGTCTTGACCTAGAAAGCTTATTAAAGTTGTGTAAGTCATTTCAGTTTAAAACAGTTATTCATAGGCCCCATTATCAATACATGCCCAACTGTATTGGCAATTCTTCTCAATGGAATACTAGTTGTTGACTGGGAACTTATTTCTTATCTTACACAAGTCCTATCAATTAAGGTATGAGAAAAGAACCTGCATTTTATCAGAGTGAAGAATAAAGCGTGATTACTGGAAATTAATCATGACTATTATTTTCGTTACAATATTAAGAACATGGTGTGTGCATCATTTTTAGAGCCTGTATTATTATTATTATTATTATTGCATCAGACTTGGGTGCATGTCTGGATGATTCAGGATCACAATTCTTTTTTTGGTGTTCATAGGATGTACAGCTATCGCAAATTGCCTTGAAGTGTTCTGCAGCACATCTTCAAACCAGAAATGTTACCGATGTGATGGTGACTATGGCTCAGCGCGTGGATCAGCCTATAAGAAGAGTGATGACATGAGACAATGCATAAGTATGTATGTCAACCATAGGTGGCTGTAGTAGAGAGGGGATTGGGGTATGGGGGACATTATTTGCTTCTCTAAGGGCTGTGCATTTTTATACAGTTGAACTTGGATTCAGTTGAATATAGAATATTCGAAACAAACCAGACAAGCATTACATGTACTAGCCAGTTGGAAACTGGGACTAAAGCTTGATCGGGAATAAAGCTTGTCCACTGAATGAGATTTGCACGAACAATTAATGAGCTTTTGAATATTGTAATGGGCGTGAAATTACTGGTTCAAGTACTAAATGACTAGAGACTAGACAAGAATTCTGACTTCTTGGAGAGATCGTGCCGTTCTTCAAAGAACAATAATGGCTGTCGGCACAGGCTGTGCCTGATGCTTACAATCGAATGCCTCTCTAACGATGAGGTAGAGCACCAGTGTGCATTGCAATCGAACGTTGAGTAAGACGCGCTCCTTATTCTAGGGGAAGCTCCTCACCGGGCCAGAACCAGTCACGATCTGAACACCAAGCCCTGACTGGGCTCGTCTTTTGTAGCGTTTGGGCGCGTACATAGTGCAAGGAGCCAGCGCATCAAAATAAATGTTTTGCAGTGCTTGCTTGGTCATAAACCATTAATTGCGCCAAATATTATTCTTAATCACGATAATCCTAACCTCTTGACCTAGAAAGCTTATTAAACTTTTAACAATTTATTCTACCATTAGTTTATCATAGACCCTATTATCAATATGTGGTCAACTGTATTAATAATAATAATAGTGGATATTTATAAAGCGCACGTATCCACCAGGACTGGTGCTCAAGGCGCTACATCAGTATTACCCCTGCTCATTGGGCACATAAAACATTCCAAATACCATCTCAGCTCCCTGGGGAGTATACAGCTCGGTGCAGCCTGTTAGGCGCAAGGAAGCTAATTCAATCACAATAACCATCTCTGCCCTCACAGGCACCCATTTACTCCTGGGTGGAGAGAAGCAATGAGTGACAAAGTGCCTTGCCCAAGGGCACACGCGCCATGACCCCGGCTGGACTCGAACCCACAACCTGCAGCTTTACCCGCAGACCACGAATCAGTGCCCTTAACCACGAGGCCACAGTACTCCACAATTGGCACTTCTTCTCAATGGAATACTAGTTGTTGACTGGGAACTTATTTCTTATCTTACACAAGTCCAATCAATTAAGGTATGAGAAAAGAACCTGCATTTTATCAGAGTGACGAATAAAGCGTGATTACTGGAAATTAATCATGACTGTTATTTTCGTTACAATATTAAGAACATGGTGTGTGCATAATTTTTAGAGCCTGTATATCATTTATTTCTCTTGTCTTAATGCCTATTTGTCAGAGCAATGTTCATGGAGGAGTAACAGCAATGCCTGCTTCCCAGGATCCTGCACAAACGGCCAGTGCAGATGCAGCAGTGGCTTCTCAGGAACTGACTGCAGAACATGTGAGTGAGAAATCAGTAGAGGTTAATAATAACTGGTATGGAGGTGAGATCGTGTCTAGCAATAAAATCCTGTCTCACTTTTATTTATTTGTTTGATTTATTTTGTATTTACTACTTCTGGTACTGAAACCAAGGATTCCCCAAATAGCGCCCTAGGCACTGTAGGCTCGAAGGCCTGAAGAAACCTGTAGAGAGAAGTGAATGAGAAGAAATTACAGTTTTAGAGGTGGGAGGAAAAGCCCAGAAGAATATTCTGGGGAAAACCCACGGAATCATGTAGGACTGAAAACCCAATCTACATATTGGCCCGGGCGGGATTCGAACCCGGGTCACAGCGGTGGAAGGTGAGGAAAGTAACACTCTTGAAACAACCTGACTCCCCAAGTTCAATCTCCTTCAATTTCCTTTCAAAGACAGTCTTGAAGTCATTTCTTTATATCTGAGCCAAGGAAATATGTAACTGTCATACAAGAGACCCAAGAATGTACTGTGCAGCAGAAAGTGAAGAACACTTTGCTGTTATTTTATGGACAAAAATAGAAGATCATGAAGATGCTTTGTTGCCACTTTTGATGGGACACACCCACAGACATATAAACGCAAAGACCGCCAGTCGTGCGCGTAAAACTGTGATTTGACAAAGTATGGGCAAAACGTTTGTTGATGCAACGCACGTTCAATGCTAATACACATTTAGTACAATACATACATGTACATTTACATACGGAACATAATAAATTGTTGAGTTAAAAAAAGGTTGTTTTACTCACAATGTGCATTAAAAAGTTGTGCAGCTTATTGTATTTTAATCTACCTCAATCATACTTAGTACACAAGGGATTTTTTTTACAATTGAAAAATAACTTCATGGAATTTTTTTACTGAAATAGTTCAACTGTGTGTAAGATCCCTATACCAAGAGGTGATTTAATTTGCCCATAGTTTGGATTTTAGTTGGGCACTGCGCAGATCACGGTATGTGCGTGTAGTTTCGAATAGGACCTGGCGATCAGGCTATGTGTTTGTGTCTGTGGACACACCACATAGAACACGCTGGTTTGTGTGTATATTGCAAAGCATGCTCGATTGATTGTATTCCAAATGTACTCAGAGTCATAGGGCTTCGTGTGAGCATCAGTTTATCATCGGCATTGAGTTCTCTGCAGTTTTGGCACTCTCCCATTCTTGTGGTTGAGGGGCAATGTGAACGGATCCCATTGCATTATCATCTGCGTTGAATACTTGCACTGGTCAAGCACCAGACCTATCAATCATTCAGGTGCCTATGGCGAGCAGCTGAACCCACTTCCCCTAGACCCCTGCATTATTGCTACATGTAGCCATAGCCACAGCCTATTAAACTCTTGTCTTGCATTGGGCAGTAGTCAAGCACCGGACCTATCAATCATACAGGTGCCTATGGCAAGCAGCTGAATCCACTTCCCCTAGACCCCTGTATTATTGCTACATATAGCCATAGCCACAGCCTAACTCTTGTCTTGCAGTGGGCAGCAGTCAAGCACCAGTCTTATCAGAGCACCGTGCCACTTTGGTCAAGGGGAAAACAACTAGGGAATCTCCCTCTGTCCAGGGCAGTACAGACACTGTCTACACCAACGTACGAGACTTCACAAGCATCAGAGCCAACTGGAAAAGTTCTTACCAGCCTACGGGACTACCAGCCTATAGTGGCGGTGGACATCCATACATTCAAAGCATTCGGTTTGGTGTTGTAGGTGCTAGAGTGACCGCTGCTGTGAATCGTAAGTCAAGTTACAATTCTCCATCAAACAAGTACGACAGCACAATAAGCTCTGGCCCTCTTGCATGAAAGTCTTGCATGAATTGATACAATTACTCACTTGGTCCTGATTGCGCTTTTTGAAATGAGGATTTAATTCCCATTTTGTTGAAAGTCACAATGCAAAATAATAGTAACCTTCATAATGCAAAGGTCTATATCCCCTGGAGACTCATTAAACTGACACAGGGCCAGAGGCAGGGGTGATGTATAGTCACAGGTAGAAGCCCCCTTTAAAATTTTCGAAGTTCGAAGCGCACAAAAATACCATGTGACTATAACATTACCACAAGTATCTTGCCTCTAATCAGAAAAGTTCATAAACAATATAATGTAACAAATTGTTACCCAAAAGTTTCGGCAAGTATTTAATGTCTTTTGTTTGCTGTTTTGGACAGTTACAGTTTGGTACTTACAGGTTTGTGGGTGAGTTTGGGGGTTCGTTTTTGGTCACTTTTTGGGGGGACCGACCAACCGAAACCCGAGTGACTGGTAGAAGCTCTGTTGCCAGAGCTTAAAAATCCGATTCAGATCGAAAGCGACACACCCAGAGACACCCATTAAGTACATGTGCCTTCTTTTGACTCATTACTCCCCATATTTGCAGAGTCAACAAAGTGGCATATCTAGGGTCCAGTTTTGCAGTAGGGTATTTGTTGGAGGGGGTGGAATGAATGGGTACTGATCATGGTCAGCTTCAAATAGACAATAAAGGTTTTCTTCTCTTAATCGGGGGGGGGGGGGGGGGGGGGGGCAGGGCAGGCATGTACTCTTCGTATTCCCTTCAGTCTTTCTTTAGTTATGTTTTTGAACCAAACATTCCTACATGTATATGAATAAATTTACAAGCTATTGTTTAGGCCACACGGAAATCATATTTTGTACAACCTTCACATTTTAATAAGGTTAATATTTTATCTTTAATCAATACCAGAAAATAATATTGTGATTTTATACAAATAATGAATGTTTGTGAGTGCAATGGTAAGAATAATTTCATGAGGTGACAGATGAAATGTTCCATTCCACGAGGCGAAGCCGAGTGGAATGGAACATTTCATCTGTCACCGAATGAAATTATCCTTTCTATTGCACGAACGTGAAATATTCATTATTTTTTTTATATAACACCTGAATAAATCCTTGTCATCTGATTGGTTGACTTTTAATAGCCAATTTATTCAGGTTAAAAACTGTTTGAAAGTTTGACAAGGAAGTTCATCATATTTAATTTATGCAAACTGTTCAACAGGTTGAGAACCATCATATTCAAGTAATCTCGATTTAAAACAGCGCCACTGCCAGCAGCGGTGACACCGTGCAATGGAAGTTCTATTCAACATGCAATGAAACTTCCATTGCACTGTGCGCTGCGCTGCGCGCCGCGCGCGCTGTGCGTTGGGACGAATAATTCAAAAACATGTCATCAATGATCCACCAATCAGATGACGGGGATTTATTCAGGTGTTGTATAAAAATCAATATTAGGTTTTTGCCATTCACCTACGTATAAACACTGTATATTCAAATGTGTTACCTCCCGAGTGAAAGTTGGAAAATATCACTCGGATGGGACTCGAACCCACGACCTCCTGCTTTGTAGTGCAGATGTCTTACCACTCGACCACCGAGCTGATGGGATCGGTTGGCTGGTTTGAATCTGATGCATTTAGCAGGGGTGCCACAGTTAACCTATTCATAGATGAATTTGCTTCAGGGTGATGTAAATCAATATTAGTTTTTTGCCCTTTGTGTTTTTTTCATGCATTAGGGGGTTACCGTATGATATATTCAGTGGGCTCGCAGGCTTGTACAACATCGACAACTCGTAATTCTTTCAATCAAAACAATCCGGCAACATACCTGGTATCCTGTCAAGTGACATTCAACTTGAACTACAACTCCTGGACACCAGCTACAGGAGATGTGTAAGCCCATTAGAAACACGTAGTGTGATCAGAATGCCAAACATTTTACTTAATGATAACAACTTTTTGCCTGTGCTGTGATGTTTAGAGCAACATTCACATGTTTTAGATAAAAAGTTGCATGAAAATAACCTTTGAAGTAAAGAGGTTTAGGACAGATCGTTGGGGTAAGAGAATACAATGTATCTTGAAAAATCAATTTTTTTGGATAATTTGAGTGTAAGGACTCAGCAAATTTCATTAGCTGCAAAATTCGAAACACATTTTTGTAATGCTTTAATTCATACAGGTTTATCAGTTGCATTATTATCAAATTCTCCAGCCTGTAGAAATAATTTTGTTCAGAAAGATATTATACATGATTAGGACAGTTTAGATTGTTTCAGAATATGCAAGAATTACTCTGTTCAAACATTGAGCAAGGAATAGGAGTTAGAACTCTTCGGCGATTTACATTTTTGACCATTAACATTCCAATCCCTCGGGAATGTCCGTAGCTACAGCACTGTGACCGCAATCCTGGACCATTCATTGCGAGACTGCAAGCGGCCTTTGAACACGATGATCGTCACCGCCTTTTCATTTAGTAACCAACAACCTCCCTATAATCACGTTTTTAGATTTTCACAACTGCGCAGTTGTTAGATGTGAGTAATGAAATCAAGTTCTCGATGTGCAGTTGTTGGCCCTTGAATGCGCTATCTGTTCCTGTTATTTGAAGATAAATCGATTTTTTTCCCGATAAGTTATCATGTCTTTTTGATTTTTTTATTGGCAATACATCATTCATGAAATATGACATTTTGGGAAATTTCCTAAGGTTTCCGACGGAAGGGATATAGAGCATATTTTGTTTGTCATGAAATGATTGTTTCAGTTATGTTGTCCACATTGTGGGCCAGTCTTTAGCCAACTCTGAACAAACACTTTCAAAATCATTCAATTTTGGATGTATGACAAGTGCGCCTGCGTAAAATACCATGGTGCTATCCACAACGCAATGCAGACTCTTTCTTCTAGCATTAGTGAGCACGGATCTCAATAGGGTAGTGAGCAACTGAATAAGCTGGCCGCCAGGTACTTTCTATTGTTGCTTTCGAGCGCAGTGACGATCATAATCACTTTGAAGTAGGGGAGTTCTGACTCCTTCAGTTCCTTGCTCCATGGTTCAAATGACAACATTGCAGTGGTATATAGAATCAGTTTCAATAGACCATTATCATGTTGCAGCCATTTGATTTTTCCCCCATTCAGATCAATGTAACCAAAGCGAGGCTGGAAGGAAACATAGCCTGGTTCCTTTTTCCACAAAGACATTATTATTCTGTACTGTTATTGGATACAGGGAACATGACTGAAATGGTGGCAGCATGATAAAGGTCTATCAGCTGTTTTCTTCAGATTGTTATATTTTCATGTCTAAAGTATGTGTGTTTGTTTATATTTCTTCATTTGTATACTACAGCCTGAGGTATGATGTATATTCCACAAGTGGCGGGTACATGAAACTCTATGACAGGGACCATTCAAACAGCATCATCACACGACACTACAATGGCAGGACAACCTCCGGCTATTCAACTTTCACCTTTGACTTCGATGACCCCTACCACTGTGTGGATGTTGGCAGTGGATGTAGAACCACTATGCTGTATGCAGGGAATGATGTTACATCACAGGTTAGTGTGGACCAAACATAATCTAAATCCTGAATGGATAAATGGCATGATGGGTTTATGGCATAATAATAATGTAATACTAATATGGTGCTTATATAGCGCCTTATACCAAAGGTCTCAAAGTGTGCTTCACACTAATTATTACCACTGTTCATCAGGCCATGAGACCACTTTGTGCAGCAGCTTGAGATCAACGCATTTTGGTCTCTACCTTTACAGGTACCACAAATATCATGGGTGGAGTGAGGCAATTGTAGTAAAGTGTCTTGCCCAAGAACACAAGCACCATGTTCCCAGCCAGGGTTCGAACCCACGTACCACGGCACGTGAGTCGACCACCGTAACCATTAAACCACAGCGCTCCACACCTTATCTAACTAGCACCTTTGATCAAAGACTCAAAGATTTGCACTGGGAGACTGCCAACCTAGGGCTGATAGCTCAATAGTCTTGAGACCTAATGACATCACGCTTTGTTTACATGTGCGCTATTCTATGGGAGCCAGGTGGGGACGCCAGCCAATTGTCACCACCTCGTTCTCATAGGAAAGCGCACGACGTAAACAAAGCGTGACGTCATTATGTCTAAGGCCTATTTTGGTCGAGCGCCAGCCACATATGGTGTTCAGCAGATCAGGGGTCAAATCCAGCTTCAATGTCTTCGCTCAAGTACATAATCCACTAAAGTAAAGTGGACGAACCTGTGTTAAGAGGAACGGAGTGCCCATCTCTCTTTCGTTAGCGATTGGGCCAGACTCGTATGCTGCTGTGGGGGGGGGGGGGGGGAGGGGATTGCCACACCTCCTCCACAGCGAGTTTGTTGGGTTGAGAGGAGTAATTGAGGTAAAGCGCCTTATACTCATCAAGGGCACAACACTCATGGCCACGGCGTGGCTCGAACCAACAACCTCACGATTATGAATCCTGTGCTCCACCGCTAGACCACACAAACCCACAATCCACTAAGCATATGCCTTATGAATTTTGATCATGGTTTTTATTGTAAACATAAAATTGCTCTTGAAAATAGGAAAATACAATTGGATATATATTGATGTATATGGGTCATTCTATAACTTTAGTTTCCAAAGAGTGCTCTTTTCCAGTATACAAATATTGAATGCTTCGAGTGGTGTAGTAAAACTAGCCTCCCGAGGTGATCCATGGACATTCTATTTTCCCGAGGCGAAGCTGAGGGAAAATAGAATGCTCCATGGATCACCGAGGCAGGCTAGTTTTACTTCACCACGCGATAAAGCATTCAATATTTGTTTTATAACACTTCACCCACAGATTCTGCTTGGTTTTAATATTTTAAATTATTTAAATCTGAACACAGTTGAAATAAACTTCAATTTCAATACAAAATAGGTGGAAAATGTATTTCTCTCTTCCAAACCTCCCCTTCGCGAAATGTTTGAACCCAACTCTTTGGCGCGCTCTCTTTGGAACAAAACGCGCAACGCGCAGACCAGCATGTATTTGCACACAAATACCGTGCCGTGGAAATAGTACTTTGGTTGCTAATGGTAAAGTACTTTGGTTGCTACGGGTATAGTACTTTTGGCCGTGCACAGAAAGATAGCAAAAATAAAAAGTATCATGTGACTCGCTCTCGGCCAATCAAGACACAGAATCTGTGGGTGAGGTGTTATAATCTCTATTAGCACGTTACTTTGTAAGTTACCATTCAAATGTAGAATGCTAAGTTCCAGTTGTTACGGTGTTTTTGTACAATGGTATATGGGTTCATACCCTGCCAGCTAGGAACATGGTGTTTATGCCCTTGGGCAAGACACTGAAAGGGAATGTACAACATTTGCTCTTGCTGCAATTTTCAGTAGTAAGTGGATTTTGGGGGTTAGAATGTTATAGCAGATATTGTTAAACTGACTTGTTTCATGTTTTGGGCTTGAAGATGCTGGAAAAACCAAGAATGTTTTTCCGATCTAGAGAGACGTTGATTAGAAGTTGATTTCCAAGAGTGCACGATACCCCCGTCTTCCCACCCAACTATCTTTAAGACCGGCCACGTGACAGGCTCTTGACCAATGGGAATGGGTAAACTGTCTTAGGCATTAATGAATAAATGTTTGGTTTCATGTTCTTCACAGGCAGAGATAATTGTCACCTGGCAAGGCTGGGCAGACAGTCTCGCTGGCATCAAGGAGTACGAGCTGCAAGTACGTCAGCTATCTGGTAGCCATGGCAATCAGATGACGGAAGTCTTTGACAGTCCAGCCGTTTATAGTGGAGTGACCGACTCTAGTCAGAACATCACTTTGCCCCATGTTGGTACGTTAAGTCTTTTTGCAAATCGAGCGTTAAATTTGTTATCATATCATACCTTGTTACCATATTTTCAAATCCTTGACAAATAATAAAATTCAAGTTCATTTGAGCAAATCTTGTAAATTTTTATATTTCAAAATGTAAAGTAAAGTCTGTCCCGAGCCAATGTGGCTCATCAGGCCGGCGTTTATCTCCGGTTTCAGTAGCATGAAACGACTGAGAATATTTCTACTCCCCCTGGATGGGATGCTAGTCCATCGCAGGTTACTCCCCAGCTAATGCCGGTACCCATTTATACTCCTGGGTGGAGAGGGGCAAGTTGGGGTGAAGTGCCTTGCCCAAGGACACAATATATGACCAGCGGCTGGATTCGAATCCCTGACCCTCTGATCATGAGTCACGAACCCTAACCACTAGGCCACACACTCCCCAAGAATGTACCTTGTACCTTTCAAAATGTACCTTGTACTTTTTTTCACAACGAATTGCATTTGGAAGGGTTATTTTGTATTAAGCCTCTTTCAAAAAATGTGTTAAGAGAATATTGTGTGCCTGGCCAGTTTAAAACACTATGTTTAAGATAGCTTGGAGTTTGGATGCTGATAATTACCCGAAACGAACCATTCATTCATAAATACCTTTTAGGTCAAAAAATAAAAACTTTTCAATCCAAAAGTCAAAACAAGTCCAAATTTATAAATTTGTTCTGTTCAATTTCCAACACTTTCAATACACCTTGTAAAGAAGAATATAAGACAAGCTATATCTTTTCCTCTACATCTGTACAGGTGTGTACTCCATCGTCCTGAGTGTTTTTGACAATACGGGCAATGTCGGACTCAGCAGACGCTTTGTGTTCTTTGATGACGATCCACAAGATGTCACCCTTCAGGATGATTCCTCTCTGCGCGTTGTCTCCGCGACTGCAGAAACCAACTACGAGTGGATGACCAGTCTAGACTCAAGCGGAGGGATGACATCCGTGCAGCTTGATTGGACGAACCGATTTATGAATGCACCTCATCACAACCAAGGATTGTTGAAACCAATTGGCTCCTATGTTGCTGGTACCATCGATTCTGGTGAGTTGGCAAATGTTGCTTTGATGTGAGGCGGTAATCATAAGTTCTATTATATGGGAAACAACAAGGTAATTTAATAGATTTTCTTCAAATATTTCTTCTTCAGATGTTAACAAAATTGTGAAACTGTTAGCAAAATTGAGAAACTGCCAACAGTAGCTCATCTGATAGAGCAATGCTTAGGTTTCCCAAAAGTTACAGGTATAAATCGTGCCCTTGTCAATTTTACTCATCTCTTGTAACGTATAATGGAGCACGCGCGCCTTGCAACTTTTTGGGGCTTTCTAAAACACTACACCTGTTTGAGTTTCTCCTATAGATTATGACCAGAACTTTGGGCTGCGTGGCCGTGCAGACATCCCTAACTCCCTCGGTGTGACAGAATTCCGCGTCGTACACGACATCGACCACAGCGGTGGCAGAACCACTGTCATCGTGAGTGACGACAACTCGGACCACTGGAGTAGTGAAGGCACAAACACACAGGCGACCTATGACCTGACCCTTGTTGATGGTGATTCCATTCGGTTCTGGGTGGAGGCCAGGGATTTGGCTGGTCACTTTGTGAGAGACAGTGTGTTGGTGCACGCTGATTCATCCCCGCCTGTGATTGAAGACTTCTGGCTGGTACGGGATGGGGAGGTGAATCTAGCCGTTCATAATTCAAAGGATCTGGATAAGATGAGGTAGGAATTCTATGTTATTTTTCATTAGGTGATGCTAAGATGATCTGCGATTGATTAAGCTATACATAACAAATAGAAAATACATCTTGCACCTGCAAAATGTATTTTAAAAATTACACAGCTATGCTTAGATTTACAAGCGTTTAAATATTTCTTGATCGAGCCGATGCAAATTAAGGAATGCATTTTCTAAGACCCCTGAGACGAAATGATTTGACCCTTTTTTTCACATGTGTACCTTCTGAAGAGATAGGAGTGAGGTGGATATGAGGGGCCCTACCTACCGTAGCTTCCACAGGAATGCACGTGTATAAACAAACTTTGTGTCTTTTTATCTCAAGGCTATGTTTCTTTCATTTTTCCACAGTGTTGAATTCAGGACATATGACATTCACAGTGGTATACAAACCATCGAGTGGCGTCTCTTTGACAACCACACTGGCACAGAGATGGCACATGGCAGCCGGAATTTGGCGGCCATGAAAATCAACAACACGGTAATTCCTGAACGCCAAACTTTACAGTTGTTTAATATTATAGTGTTGTATTTTGTGTCAGACTTGCATCCCATTTGCAATTGTAAATGTATGGCTTGACGCAGGAAAGTTTGCTGTTATTGTTTGCTTTTTTACACAGGACACTGAGAAATGTGATCCTGTCAGCTGTATGTGTGTCCCACTTGGTGATTGTTATGCTGTAGACTATGGCTTCCATCCAACAATGCACATTGGTACCCATGACTATGATTACTACATCACCCTGACGGTGACCAACCAAGCAAGTCTAGCAACTACTCAGACAATCAAGGTATGTTTATTCAAAGAAATTCCAAATAAATGTTGTAATGCAGTCCAAATATTCAACTGAACTCAAATCCTTATTGCTGATGAATCACAGATAACGGTGGATGCCTCTGCTCCTCAAGCTGGTGTGGTGCATGATGGGATACCTGGGTCCAATGAGATAGACTATCAGGAGGGCAGTGACCTCTCGGCTCATTGGGAGGGCTTCTTTGACAAGGAGAGTGGGGTCAAGTTCTATCAGTATCTGTTTGATGACTCCTGCAGGACCGGCAATACAACAGTCGGCAGTGCCAGCAATGATGTAAGTTGGATGTGGATTGGTGGTTTGTCCTTGATATAAGCAATACTCAAATCTTTAGTATCCCATTGTGATTCACATTGCTGTGACTTCCAAATTGTAATCCTTCACACTGCTTTGACATAACTTTACAAGTCAGTCCTCCACTTCAGCAACAAACACTTTTAAATTGGGGAAAAGTTTTTTTAGAAAACAGTTATACCAATTTAAGTATCGTTTTGGTTTGCGGTAACACCATGTGGTAATAACTACTGCTTAGAAGATATTTAGTTCTGAAAAGAACTTGTCCTGCTTATTATCAACTACGCTAAGTAGTTTTTTGTTCTGACAAGAACAGTCCTGCTGTAAGTTCTAAACGAACTTGTCTTTGGTATCAACGTTTCGACTAGCCTGCTCTAGTCATCGTCAGGAGACTGACCAGGAGACCGTGAGTTTTACCAATTATTAGGATTTCATCATTTTTTAAGATGACAAGGACAACCTCCACATATGCCAGTTGGACAGCCCCCTCGCCTGGCCAGTATTACATCACTGTCATCGCTTACAACCGTGCCCTGGACCCCTCGAAGGCCGTCTGTTCTGACGGTGTCGTCATCGATACCAGCCCTCCAGAGCTGACCCAGATTGCTATCAGCTATGCTCGGATGTGGCCTGGTCTGGCCAAGGATGCTGAGGGTCGGGTGTGGTTCATCAATGAGCATCGCCGGAAGATGGAGCTGATGAATGCGTCCAGAGACTGCAGGTAGGCACATGAGACTGGAGCAGTTGAGCATTCTGATAAGACTCATGCTTCTTGACACTGACCTTTACTAAGTCATCTACCAAATCAGGTTCAAGATAATGATGCTTATGTCCTTCAGCACTACATTTTAATGCAATCGCCCCTCTCCAACCTTCCGATTTGTACCTATGCAAAGTTTGGTGATGAAATCTTATATTTGATAAGTATACTTCAGTTGAAAGCCTTGTGTATTCACGTGAGTTTGGATTTTCTTGCGCACAGTTCCATGGCCGCTCTGGTAGATGATTTGTCAGTTTATCCTGAGATAGCTGGTAGCAATGACTCTTCAGCAATACTACAAGGAGACCTAGACTGTGTCTGGATTTCGCCCATTGAGCAGAAGTTCTTCCTTCCGATAGACAAACATGTACGTATATATGATCTGCTCAGCAGGGCCCAAATTAAGCAGCTCAGAGACAATGGGCCGAATACATAAAAACTAGCAATTGCTTTTTCTAGGCTTTTGCTTACATTTTTATACATAAAAATAAGCAATTGCTGACAAGTAAATGCTTGTACTGTTAAGCAAAAGTAACAGCTTGTTTCTTGCAAGCAAATACTTCCCAGATGAGCAATTGCTTAAAATGGATACATAAAAACAAGCTTTTGCTTTGCCATTAAATAAGCATTTGCTTGTAGTGTTTCAAGTTTCCCACACGGTAGGTTTTGCTCTTGCTTATCAGACAAGATCAACTGTTATCATCATTTGTTTGCATCTGTTTTCTTTGACCTGTGTTTTCATGTTGGCTACCTTCTCTTCAATATTTTTTTCTCATCCATGTTTTCCTCCAGTATTTGTAGCAATTGATGCTTTGACATCAAGAAGTGCCCTCACTTTCTTTTCCTTGCTACTTGGTGTGTGGGGATAAAAAGCAAAACATGCGTCCATAAAAAGCTTTTACATTACGCACGCCTCATGCGCATATCTGGACAGATAGTGCTATTGTTCAGAACTTATGCATTTGCTAGGCAAGCTTAAGAAAAAGCTGTTAGTCAAAGCAAAAGGTTATGTATATGTTTTTAAGCAATTGCTTTTACTTTTGCTTCTGCCTGATAAGCTTTTGCTTTAGCTCGGTACTTCTTCTCATAAGCCATTGCCAGTTTTTATGTATTCGACCCATTGTCCCAAGGTGGAAAGTAATTCACAGATATCTGGATGAGGACAGTTCACAATGAAGGTGGTGTTGACGCTCTCTCTTGTAACATTTTACATACATGAGGATGCGGCTTATGTAAATATACTCCATAAAAGCAGTATACTGTAGTACTGTGAAAGAGATTTGAAAACAAAAACCATTATTAGATGTAGTAATTGTGGATGGTATTAATGTCATGTTGTCAATGACAGTTGACCATCTCATGGACTGGAGGAATCGATACAGAGAGCTCCATCTATGACTATGAGATAGGTCTGAGCAGTGACCCCTCAAACCCGACCCCTGACCTGGTGACCTTCATGTCAACATCAGGTCATGATCACTTTGTGATGTACCATCCTCATATCAGCCAGGGAGCTGTGTTCTTTCTGGTTCTGAAGGCCATCAACAAGGCTCAGCTATCTACCTTCAAGGTATGTAATGGACTGACTGTTGATGAGAATTAGCCATAGGCTGAATTACTCGGCTGTGGATGGCAAGTACACACATATGGAAGGTAGATAAAGTGTAAAGAATTATCCTTGTCTAAATAAACCCCCAAAAGCTTCTAGACTTGGACAGCATGCACTGTAAATGCCTAATTGTTTAATGTACTATGGCTATGTGTGACTCGGAACCCAATTGAGTGTTGAGAGGGAAGGAGCAACATATTGGCTCGCCAAAGAAACAGCAAGGAACAGTTTTTAACAGTTTTAAAAGAAGCATTTGAAAGTATGCATTAACATAAACTTTGTCACATTTGGTTATTTTGCCTGTTGCAGGTGGTTGGTCCAATAGTAGTGGATACCACTCCGCCCATGTTTGTTGGGCGTGTCTCTGTCCATGTGGAGGATGAATACTTGATTGCTGAATGGGGAGATGATGGCTTCATTGATGATGAGGATACCAGCCTGAGATACCAAGTTGCCATTGGTGAGTCAGTCAAACATAGATGGTGTCCATAGTGCCCCACTCATGTTTGTTAGGTGTGTCTTTGTCCATGTGGAAGATGAATATTTTATCGCTGAATGGGAAGATGTACTTGGTTTCATTGATGATGAGCACACCAGCCTGAGATACCAAGTTACCATCAGTGAGTAACTTAAACCTAAGAAAGTGTTGGTAATTGGCCCAAAGTACCCCACCCATGCATTTCCAGACTTGTATTTGAGTCACGAAACATCGAGTCCGAGTCCGAGTCACCTCTCCCGAGTCCGAGTCCCGAGTCATGCAGGTCGAATCCGAGTCATGAGACACAAAGGTCAAGTCGGAGTCTGAGTCACGAGCAACTTTCATATATACAGTGAAATCTCGATCAGCCAAATCTGAAGGGAATGGATAAAAATTTCGAAAACTTTACGCAAAGTTCCTAAAAATCCCAAAAGTTCCCAAATATACTTCAAATATACAAATTTTCTGACCTACCTTGAAATAGGGCTGTGCCGAATATTTGAATATTCGAATATTCGATCGATAATCAAATATTCTAATATTTATTTTCGAATAAGAATATTCGGTGGTGATATGCAATGAAATAAAAAGGTGGAAAAAACTTTTTTTAACAACAAAATGTATTCTCAAAGTTAAGTTTCAAGTTGCTGCCAAAAACCCCCATAAAAGTAGCTTGTATATATGCCAAGCAATAATGCCATACATATATTACTTCTGCTTTGGGAGTGCTTGCAGTAAAGCCAACCCATTTTTTTAACGCCGGACTGCAACACCAATCGCTGATGCTTCCGACAAGATAAACAAGACATTGTGTCTTTCATGTCTTCACAAAACACTTCCTGACACCTTTTCATATCAAACTTCTAGCATGAGTAGTAACATTTCCGTTGTCCATATTTTTGTTTGTTGTCCTATTTACAATTCCTATTTTCAAAAGAAAACCGCCGCTGTTTTCCCCGATGCGGTCCTGGCAAGTTTCCCCACGCGTTGGTGTTACATGTGCATGTGTGCAGCATAGGAAAATGCAGCGTGGCATTGGAGAGGAGCACGTGTTAATTTGCCCACGTGCGCTGGGAGGGGCTTACTGGATCGGCTATTGACATCGCGAAAAATGGAATGCCAACATCGATGTAGAAGACCTCTGCAATCTCATGCAAAGAACTTGATTTCTTTTTTCTGTGTGGGCCTTTGTATTTTCCGTTTTCATGTACTTATTTTGAGGACGTACTGCTCGCACAGGGTCGCACAAGAAGCGGTACATTACACTGATACAGCGAAGCCAATTCCCCCCAAAGTTTTCCATCGCCTGTTCAATCATGTCGAATGCACGTGGTTATAAGGAATCGCCTTGCACGCAGTATGCTGCCCACAGCACGTGGCGGTGTTGTAGAAAACTTGTCATGAACCCCAACATTACATTAAAACGTTTTAAAAACCTTGGTTCATTTACGTTACGGAGTCTGGGATTTTTCTAAAAGAATTTCTTGTTTACTTTTAGGGGTAAATTTATTATGGCTGTTAAATGTTCGCCTCAATGCCTCCGTAATTATATACATGTACATGTACAAAATAATCTAGTTCTCTCAACTGATCAGAGCACCCTTTTATCGAACACATTTTCGTTCGCTGTCCGTCAGCTTTGTTCGCTGGGTTAGTCTGGTAATTGCACCCAATATTTGCACAAATAAAACATACATAAACACTTCAAAAACTAGTTCAGCAATACTTTCAGTAATAATAGCAAGAACCTCTGGCTTATGTCCTCCAAGTCGAGCAAAACGCAAGAAAAAGGGCAGACAACAGAGAGGATTTCAAACTCAAAAGAGCTCTCATTTATTTCGCCAGACAGACTTTGCGTTCAACTCACCACACCGCACCGTACCCCTGATTCCCAGCATAGAAAACCACAGCTAGACAAAATGTATCAAAATTTTGCAAGTTGGAATATCCAAACCTTTTAGTGGCCTATCTATTAGAAAGTTATCTCCAGAGCACGCACTTAGCCAGACAAAAGAACCGGGTCAGCGCACCTGTGCCAACAATGCGCCCGCCAACAATGCGCCCGCCAACAATGCGCCCGCCAACAATGCGCCCGCCAACAATGCGCCCGCCAACAATGCGCCCGCCAACAATGCGCCCGCCAACAATGCGCCCGCCAACAATGCGCCCGCCAACAATGCGCCCGCCAACAATGCGCCCGCCAACAATGCGCCCGCCGGAGCTCGGCTTATAATACATCCCCTGTGGGCAAACAAGGAAATACTGCTTTGCACGTGTCAAGCTGGGGCGTGTGTATGCCGCGCCCACGCCCATTATTTGCATTAACTTAAATATGCATTTACAATTCAAAGACCCATATTTCATTGAATAAAGACATTACATATCATAGGTTTTTTTCTTGGAGTTTTTGGTTGTTGAGAGTAAGTTTATTTAAAATGATATAAAATCATTTCCTCAATTCTTGGTGACAAAAGTGCGAGTTATTACTATAAAAGTGATTTTTTTAATCTTCAATACTGTGACTAGGAAGTACACCGTTTTGTAGACTTCAAGAAGCTTCCAGTAATAGATATGCTCGGTTCCTGTCTGCGAGTTAAGGGTCGGAGAGTCACAATAGCTGACGCCACCCGCCTTGTTTGGGGTTCACGGCTAAATACGTCCCCCATGCAAACAAGGAATCCTTCACTGTAGCTTCTCTGGTGATTATTAATCTTTAAATTACTGACGACTGAAGAACAACTGATTGTTGTCAAATACTTGACCTACCTGTGAAGAAATCATACATGGCATGCTGACGTGCTCACGTACGTTGACTACATGTACAATGTACATGTGTGGCATATTTTTGCTTTTGAGGGAATTTGGAATGGCCAAATAACCGAATATTCGAATATTCGATCGATTGGAAGGTCGAATATTCGAATATTCAATTATTGGAATCATCGGCGGCGGAACACTTTTAAAAGTGGGAGGGCAAGGTCCAGTTACTGTTCCCGGAGCAGGATTACAGCAAAATCAAAGCAAATGGGAAAAGTGTGAAGTTGGTCCGAAGTGTGACCTACGTAATATCTGCTAACCAAGGGCGGATCCAGAACACAATTTTTTGGCGGGCCCAAAAAATTGTTAGTCCCCCAAAAAAGTGGGGGGAAAAATTACGGCGTGGGGTTCGGGGCCCGCTTAAGGGCCCCGAATTTTTTTTTGATTCTAGATGCTCTGTGGTGCGATCTGAGGCAATTTCTGACCACTTTAATCAATGTTTTTTTGAGGAAAAGATGGTGATGTACTCATTGCCTGCCTTTATTGGAATGTCACGTAAAAAAAAAAAAAGGTTTCTTTTTTTGGGGGGGGGGGCATGGCCACCTTGCACCCCCCCCCCCCCCTGGATCCGCCCTAGCTGCCAACCTATGCATGTGGACTATTCCTACCGGTATATCCCTATTTTTCGTATCATTTTTCTAATTTTGTTTCGCCATACTCACTTAGGTATAAGTCCTGTTGTCAAATTGCACTACCAACCAGGGGTGTAAATCGCTTTTCAAAAGTGGGGGGGGGGACATACCTTGATCAGAACTGATGCGAGCGTGAAGCGCGAAGCTCTTGAGGCGTGGGGTTCAGGGCCCGCTTAAGGGCCCCGGAGAAAAATTGGATTCTAGATGCTCTGTGGTGCGATCTGAGGCAAAAGTGACCACTTTAACCAATATTTTTTTAGCAAAAGATACATTGTAGTACATAATACTATTAATTGGGCCCGATAAATGAGACACGTGTTCAAAAATCTTTTTTACCTCCTGTATCATTTTAATTAACCTCGTTTTTTAAAATCGCTCCTTGGTAAATAGTGGGGGGGCAAAATAGCTACCTATTAAAAAGTGGGGGGGGGCAACTGCCCCCTCTGCCCCCCGGTTCCGCCGCCGGTGATTGGAATTGACTCAGCCCTACCTTGAAATGTCCAGCTTTCTAGGCTCATGACGTATGGGAAGATTTGCCAGGAAAGTTGGAAATAATAACCATACTTACATGAGTTAGAATGGAGATTAGGTGATTATTGTCATGTTTTTTTTGTGCTGATATTTTCCATTTCCGTTAAAATTACAAGCAACAACTCACCTATCACAGCCTATAATCCTTTATGGAACAAAAGATCCTCTCAAAATGACAATTTGATCAAGCTGAACCCAAAAACGTTTTTTTTTTATAGTGCAACTCCTTGAGTGCACAAAATCTTTTTCGTCGCGTCATCTGATTTGTGTAAGATGGAATAGTTGACCTCCAATCGTTGACCTCCAAGTTGCCAGGCTAAACCAAAACGCCACCTCCGGGCAGCGACTATTTGTCAATACGGGCGATTCCATATAGTGCGCCTCCAAGAGTTTGCAGCGCGTTGGCCAATCACAATGCGCGAAATCAGTCGACCTTTTCCAAACGGGCGTTGGGTCGACAGATTTTGCGCATTGTGATTGGCCAACGCGTTGCAAACTCTTGGAGGCGTACTATTGGGAATCGCCCGTATTGGTCGGTTTTGTCTGGTACCCAGGTTATATTTTGTGTAAAGGTTAACAAAATTGACATGTGGGAGATCATTGGAAGGGACATTCGAACGCATTGCTGATGACACCTGAACATTGCACACTCTATGGCATTACACTATTATGCTTGCCGACCAGTGGTCACCACCTTAACAGAATATTGCCTATTAACGGAAGGTTTTTCTGTACTGTAATTTTGCCTTTCATTAAGCATGTTAAGCAGTTTACTGCAGTTTTATTCATTTTCATTAAAAAAAGAATTGTGTTCAGAATTTTTCAAAAACATTCTTTGATAAATTCTTTTTGTTTTGTTTTTTCTTCTAGGGGGTAGCCCAGGTGGCACTAAAACTCTTGATTTCCAGAAGGAGAAAGCCTACAGAATTGGTCCTTGTTTGTCCCAAACATCATGTGCTGCATTCTCATTGGCTGACCTAGACTGGCATCTCCATGGAGATCGTGACTACTACGTGTCAGTCAGAGCTCAGAATGGTGCTGGGTTAGCTACAGTGGGGACCTCATCCGTTTATAGACACATCGTGCAGTTACCATCTCTGGGTGTTGTATTGGATGTTGCACCCCCTGGCGAAGAGGTGCATGTGGATTTGGGGGTAATTATGACAAATTCACAGTAAATATTGTTTTCATTAGTTTGAAATCTTTTGTAACTGCCATTAGTAAATGCTGAAAGAATGCTTACAGCCACTTCAATAATTTTATGTTGAGTAATTGGATCATATCTTCAAAGAATGGATATAAAAAGTATATGTTCCTCCGTACTTTGAAAATTATTAAGCATTAGTTGAGCAACAACAAATAAGCCAAAATGGTTTTTGTAAGAAAAATGGTGGGGTCCATTGAAAAATATGTCTGGTGTGTTTTTGTAATAATTGCTGAAAACCAGTTAGTGGAGTTAAGGCATCAAATGAAATGATTTCGTATTGATGAATAGCAAACTGAGAAGAAAAATGTTAGGAATTTAAAATTAATTTCCAATGAATAGTTGTTGAAAACCAATTAATGGAGTTAAAGCATCAAGTGAAATGATTTCACATTGATGAATAGCAACCTGAAAAGAAAAAAAGTTAAGAATTTTAAATTAATTTCCTGTTACTGACTGCCAGCCTATTGTCTCAGTAACACAAATGTCTCCCTAACAGGTGGCCAAAGACATTGATGTTCAGATGAGCACCGCAAGCATCTCAGCTCGTTGGTTTGGTTTTGAGCATCTTCATCTTGATATCAACTATGAGATTGCAATCGGATCAGAAGGAGGTGCTTCTGATGTCAGCGATGGTTTCACTGATGTGGGCAATGCAACCTTCTATCGACTGGATGGACTAGATCTCATTCCACTTATGGTAATTGGGACAGGAATTCAAAATAGTGGAAATTTTCATGAAACACTGGAGCTTGAAATTTTGGGCTCTCTTTTTATTTACCTTCGCAAGAGCCACTGACATCTCCTTATGCCTTTTTGTTTGTTTCAGTTTTCCGTATTCATTGAGGTATTTTTTTGTATTACTGCTAGACCTATTATGTGACCATCCGTGCTAACTCTGAAGCTGGTAGTGTCAATGTTACCTCAGACGGTGTCAAAGTCATTCAGGAGGGTCAGGTACTGAAGGGAGCTGTGATCAAAGATGGACTCGGCTGTGATCAAGATGAAAGTAAGACCCATGGCTTATATTTCTGTGGTGTGACATTCTCGCTGAAAGGATTTAAGTATCTTTCATTGGCTAATATTTACTCAGGCCTTTGATCTTGATAGGACATCTTTCCCTGATCCTTTCCCATTGCTAAACGTCCCTGATGTTAATTAACCATCTAAATGTGATAAAACCCTCTGTAGACAGTGTCTTGCCTCCTTCTTCCAGTGTCTTTGCCTCAAGGATTATCTATCACTCATCTGTTGCTGTTCAACCCTATCAGGATGACATCACCTACCAGTTTTCTTCCTCAGACATCTCAGCTCATTAGACCATTTCTCAACATCTCTCTTTACTCACTGTTTCTTGCCTCCTTGCAGTGTATGTGCCACCAAGATCATCCCATCACCCATCTGTTGCTGATTGGTTCTGTCAGGATGACGATAACATCACCTACTAGTCTTCTATGTCACGTATCTCAGCTCGTTAGATTATCACTCAACATCCCTCTTTCACAGATTCTTGCCTCCTTCTTGCAGTGTCTGATGTGCCACCAGGATTATGCCATCACTCATCAGTTGCTGATCCATTCTGTCAGAATGACAGCACCTACAAATCTTCTATGTCACTCATCTCAGCTGACCATGCATCCCTCAACATCCCTCTTTACTCACAGATTCTTGCCTCCTTCTTGCAGTGTCTGTGCCATCAGGATTGTCCCATCACTCATCTGTTGCTGAGCCATCCTGTCAGGATGACATCACTTGCCATTCTTACCTCACTCATCTCAGCTCATTATACCATACCTCAACATCTCTCTTTACTCACGGTTTCTTGCCTCCTTCTTGAAGTGTCTGTGCAACCACGATAATCCCATCACTCATCTTTTGCTGATCCATTCTGTCAGGATGACAACGACATCACCCACTAGTCTTCTACGTCACTTATCACAGCTCGTTAGATCATCCCTCAACATCCCTCTTTACTCAAAGTTTCTGGCCTCCTTCTTGCAGTGTCTGTGCCATCAGGATTATCCCATTATCTGTTGCTCATCAATCCTGTCAGGATGACATTACCTACCAGTCTTACCCCATTTATCTCGGGGGATTAGACCATCCCTCCACATCCCTCTTTACTCACAGTTTCTGGCCTCCTTCTTGCAGTGTCTGTGCCATCAGGATTACCTCATTACTTATCTGTTGCTGAGCCATCCTGTCAGGATGACGTCACTTGCCAGTCTTACCTCACTCATCTCAGCTCATTATACCATCCTCCAACATCCCTCTTTACTCACAGTTTCTTGCCTCCTTCTTGTAGTGTCTGTGCCGTCAGCATATTTCATTACTCATCTGTTGCTGATCACCCTGTCAGGATGACATCACTTAATTACCAGTTTTACCCTACTTATCTGAGCGCAGACCATCCCTCAACGTCCCTCTTTACTCACAGTTTTTTGGTCTCTTTCTTGCAGCGTCTACGCCACCAGGATTATCCCATCACTCATCTGCTGCTCAGCAACCCTGTGAGGATGACATCACCTACCAGTCTTCTACCTCAGACATCTCAGCTCGTTGGACAATCCCTGAGATGCTGCAACCCTTTGTGACTGGCGTCTTCTGGGCAGTTGAACAAGAAATCGAAATATACTTTGGTAAACCTGAAATCATTTGCCTCTGAGTTTTACTACAGACGTGTAATCCTTACTGCTTGAATTGATAGTATTGGTAATTTAGTTTGTAATGTTTTAAAAGAATCAAATTGTCAAAAAAAATCGAGAATTTTTATCTAGTTATTATTTGAGCAAAGGAACCACTACAAGCTACTGTTTTTACTTGGTGTCTTCACGTATAGTCACTGATTTTGTAAGTTATGTTACCTTTTCAGAATGAAGTATATTTCATTTCCCACAGATGATGAGAACACTACGAGGGAATGGATCCCAGTGGTTGATGATCAAGATCTTGGCATGGCATTCCAACATGTTGGAGCTGGGGTTGGGTTGCATGGTGGAGGTCATTACAGATCAAAGGTAAGAATTAAAAATTGTCATGATGAAACACAGTGGCTTAAATCCGTGTCGGTGATAGGGGGATGGGAGATAAGTATAGGATGAGTATAAATCTGCGATTGGAAATTTGAAAATGGGGGGGGGGGGGGGTGGCGCTAGACACCACATGATACTGGGTTTGCTGTTCTCACCACTAAGATATCGGGCTATGATCCAATTGCCCACCACCCCCTTTGCAAAAAAGTATACAACCATTGAGTGGCTCAGCGTGGAATGGGAGGAATATTATCGCAAGGTAAAATCTGGACTTTTCCATTTCACGAGGCGAAAAAGTCCAGATTTTACCGAGCGATAATATTCCTACCATTTCACAATTAAAAGCCACTGAATATTTGTTTTATATAACTGACATATAGACCCTTGTCATTTGATTAATTGAACTTTTTTTTCAATACAAAACTGGAGGAAAATGTATTTCTCTCTTCTAAGCCACCCCTTCGCGAAAATGTTTTAACCCAACGCTGTAGCGCTGGCGCTTTGGAACAATACGCGCTTCGCGCAACGCTGAACGCGCACACCAGCATGCATTTGCACACAAATACCGCGCCATGATCCTAACTGTTGAATAGTATTTCCCATTCCCCAAGGGCGGATAGTACTTTTTGAGCCGCGGCGTGAATGGGAGCAATAACCAATGTAACGTGATGTGAGTTCCACCAATCAAATGACTAGGATCTGTATGTCAGTTATACATGTATAATAGGGGAATTAAGCCCCCTTGGTGCAACATCATTGCAATATGTGCGGTTGTTTAAAATTTCACAATATGGTTGGGCAAGACAAACTTTATTTAGGTGAAGTGTGAAATTTAGTTAGAAAAAAAATATAAATATTGTAATACATTTGGTTTTATTCTGGCAATTTATTTTGCAGGTTCAGTTTTGCCACGTTAACGTTTGCTTCAAACCCGTCGTCACTGATGGATTCTGGGTATTATCCCAACCTCCTGAGGTCGGTCAGGTCACAGTCAGCGACGTTGAAGCTACGCCAGGCGGGACGGAGATCCGTGTGGTCTTCCAGCCTTTTGCCCACGGTTACGTCCGTCACGACGACCCGCGGGAACTGATGGATTTCTATGAGTGGAGCATTGCTGAGGATGGTAGCGATGGAGCCTTGCTGAGTCAGTGGACAAGAATCCAAGATTTGGTGGTTACTGGGGACGTGGTAAGTTCTTGTAGCAGAAGGGAGTGGGAGAGAGTTACTGAACCCGAAGACAAAGAATATAATAGCTGATGCAGCAACCCTAGATTAATCTTTTCACAGGAGATCATGGTGCACAAAATGGAATTATTTTAATAGTACTTAGATGAAATCTGGTTTTTCTTTTAGGACTTAAGACTAACCAGCTTGCCTCATTTTAGGCGATTAGGTGTTTTGTTTTTGTTTTTAAAGGGCCCCTATTTTATGACAGGAAGGCTCAAAGATAATTGATTTTTGTAAATGTGATGACAAAAAGTTTTCTGCCTAACCTTAAGTCTTGCATGTCTTGCTGAACAGGCACGCTTTACAGCATCATACAGTGGATCCTTAGACCTAGATGTCTGTCTGCAGTTATCAGTGAGAGGCTACAATAAGGCTGGTCTGTCATCCATTGCTAGCACTGAGATTGTGGACTGTGATAACGTGAAGCTGATTGTCCCCCATACTGTCATTGATGCTGATCGTAAGTACATGTTGACTTCCCCCAGGGATTTCTGTTGGTCTGAAAAGAAGAGATTGGGTGGGCAAAACCAATTTTTTTGAAGAAATGCTATAAAAGTACAGACTTGCAGCAGTTAATAAATAACTAATTTACTGCTGAAAATGATTAGGAAAGTTGAACGTGCATGAAATCCACAGTACAGTGGAGTCCCCTAATTAACGTGTCGCACTTTGGCGGTTTCCCCCGACTTTCCTCATGCAGTGTTGTCAAACCTCTTTAAGCCGTGTTCCCACTGGACATTTTTCCATGGCCACGCCTCGGGTGTTAGGCACCCGTCGGGTGTTCGAAACGTCATATCCCACATCATGCGCCCCTCAGGTGTTCATAACGTCATATCCCACATCAAAGCAGTAAACAATTGTTCTGTTATAACTCTGTCTTGGATTCTTTGGATTTTGATGTAAAAGTCACGAAAACAAACATCAGTAAACACAACAATCATGACAATTGAACGTCAACTCACTTGCATGTCGCGTGCTCGAAACAGCTGATCGTCTGCTAGTTAGCTGCTCCCACTCATGTGTGAAACATGGTGAAAATAGCGTGGGTACCAACGATACAAGCGTTTCACACTGAACATACAGAGTCTTAGTACGTGATATCCCACAGGGAGTGTGCCATGACTTTTTATAAACTTAACACGTGATCGTTCTGGGCCAATGCAAATACAGTATTCATGACAGAGGTATAACAATATAATTTATCACAAAAGTTATCCAGGTTTGATAACAATTTAGGCACAATCAGTGGATTTGTGTTATCAGTCAATTGTGCCATCGGTCGATCACTGTTTCTTATTTATGAAAGATTGTTTTTAGAAAGAGAGGTAAAGTCTGAGATTTTCTATGGGGTTGATGTTCAAATGCAGTCCTGGGTGATAGAGTGACAGCACAAATCCACCGATTTCACCTAGCAATAACACTAGACTTAAGTGTAGATATCCCAAAAGGAAGACCTGAAGACTATTGTTACCTGATAACAACTTCTTGCTTTGTAACTTTTAAACAGACGAAGTCAACATGGAGCAGAATGCTATGTGGCCGGAACCAGACAAGAACTACATCTCATCTACGTCCTCATTATCCGCAGTCTGGCCCACATTACGCCACAGGGACTACGTCTGGGCAGCCATTGAAGACACTGGATCCTTTGGAAACTTGGATGATGGTCTGCAGTTTCCTTGTGATCACCCGAGGAGCATCACCTGTGGGAATACCAGTAGGAAAGATTGAAAATGAAATCAGTGAAACCTTGAATTCATATAAAAAGTGCACCCAGGATTTATTGAGCAAGAAAACATCGGGTTTTAAAGTAAACGGTTGGGAAAAACAAGACATATTGTCAAATAGAAAAGCAAAGTTATCTTAACTGCGGTATGACTATTTTCTTTGATGAGAAAAGTGAAAGTTCTGTTATTCTTGTATATATCTTTTAGATAAAGAGTTTGTTAACGTTCCTGGTTTGGTCCTGCATCATGGCAAGCGTTATCGCATTTGCATCCATGCTGATGAAGTGACATTAGAGCATGAGCTTTGGAATGAACTGTTGCCTGCTGTGTCCAGCTGTAGCGATGGTGTTGTCATAGATACGACCCCACCGACCCCTGGCTCTGTATGGATTGGATGGAACCAGCATCAAACCTATCAAGTAATTTCTGTAATCATTTTTTCCTCTTTGTTCTTTACACAATCCAGGAAATCCACCTTCCCACCAGTATATGTCAGAGAAATCCAACTTTTTTACTGGGTAACCTTTTAGAAAACTAATGTTTTCTCGCTACTGACATTATCATCAAATATTTGACAAAGTTTTTGGTATAAATGCAGGATATTTTTTAGCATGGGTCCATTGTTTTGAAATAGATTGTTCAGGAAGATGTGGTAGTCATAACTTTAGTTTGAACCTTACTTTTCCATGTTTGTATTTTCGACAGAGTTCCAGCTCAGAGTTAGTCCTACAATGGGAGTCCTTCACTGACATTGAGGAACATGGTTTGGCTAGTCATCACTCAGGGGTCAAGTACTATGAATATGCCATTGGTAGGAGCATACATCCACAATCGTTTCGTGTCTGTATTTTGTGGTTTTTGCACCTGTGGGCATGGACTGCGGTAAATGCTCTTAGGCCAATTGTGATATTTTCATGGCAGCTCTGGACCCTCGGTCCTATTTTTTATTTCCAAAAGTCACTTTCATCTTAGATTTTAGTTTATCCATGTGAAAATTACTTTTAATTCTTTCTTTGTAAGGCCAAAAAAAATATAAGTCTCTGGTCAGCGCGCGCGTCGATTTTAATCATGCGCGTCGATCTTTTTTTTTTCCAAAATGTTCCGCGGTAGCTCCAACAGCGCCCTCTATTTCTGCACCTCCTCAATTTTTTTTACCAAAAAGCACCAAGGAATGGGAAATTGCACCAAGGCAAATGATCGAAAGCACCAAGGCAAATTATGGAGGACACCAATGTACATGAGGACACCAAAAAAGCAAAATAGTACCCCACCTTGTCTGTACAATCCAAGCTTGAAGGAAAAAAAAAAAAAGCTAAAAAAAAAAAAAAAGCCGAGTGGCCGCGTCAATTCCGGAACTTTGGTCTGACCAGAGACCGAATATTTTTTTTTTTTGGCCTAACTTATACAATTGTTACATGTTGCAGGTTCGATGCGAGGTGGCAGTGATGTGGTAGAATTCACTCGTGTTGGAATCACTAACAGCGTTATCGTACACAACTTGAGATTACAGAATGGACACACATACTATGCCACTGTTAGAGGTAAACATTCAATACACGTCTTCTCCAAAGGAGGAAAGATGGGCATAGGTGCTTTGATTTTAATGTTTTGTTTATGTTGTGTGAGGTTCAAGTCAATTTCAGATCTTTCAGGTCAGGCATCATAAGATCTAAATCTTTCTGGTGAAGTGTTATATATCTGTGGTAACATGATCATGGTCACAACCAAACAAAAATTAAATCTATCTGGTAAGGTTTTGCACTTTTGTAACAAATACGTTTTTGTACACTGACATGTCACATACATTATTCCTTTTGACCAATTGTTCTTTCCTTTATACGTTTCTTTTGACTGATGTTTAATTTTCCAATCAGCGACTGATTTTGTTGGTCTGTCATCACACGCCATGTCAGACTCAATCACCATTGATATGTCGCCTCCTGTCTTCAGTGCTGATCACTCACTGGACATTGGAGGCAGCTTCATCCGGTCTACAACTTCCATCTCAGCAAGGTAGAGTAACACATTTTCGTTCCGTCACCCTTCTTAAGAGACAGGCATGTCAATTATGGAGAAAAAAAATTGAAGAATATTGCAGGACAAGTTCTTCTTAGTTTAAAAATGTGAAAAGTACATTACAATAATAAGGGATATAGCTTCAGTTTGCGGTAACACCATGTAGTTGTGTGTATAGTTTCACTGAGAAGAAAAGTTCCGATAAGAATTGTCGTGCTAGTTCAAAAGGAACTTGTCCTGCTTATTATCTACTTTCGCTAAGTACATTGGAAGGTGGTGGGACTTCTCGCAAAATCACTGAGGCTGAGTGAGATAAGTTTGGTCTCAACGTTTCAACCGGCCTGCTCTTAGCGAAAGTAGATAATTCGTCACCGTCACAACGAAGTGAAACTAACATCGAAAATCTATATTTTGCGATTTCAATTTTTTGTTTCCTAATTGGTGATTATTTACACATAATCTGTCACCTCAAGAAGCTACTATTCACAGAGTAAATTAGTTTTGTCAAAATATTAATTAACATTAATTATCATTTGTAACTTAATGGGTCGAAACCGGAAAATGCGTTTTCAAGACGTGCACTATACCATTCTTTTGCCTGTAAGCAGCCTGCGCACTGCGCGTCCAAAACGGATTTTGCGTTTTTACGAAGTAACACAAATGTCATGTGATATGTGCGACCCACTTCTGGAATTTTCACAAAGTAACACTAAGCCCATAGCTAATACACTAATAGAAAATATTAATTTTCAGGCTTAAGCGATATTCAGAGCACCATTTCAAAACATAATCAACTTAAGTCACTTGTATCTCAAAACACACATTTTCCACTTTGCGGGGTTAAAGTCACTCCGTGGTGACGGTGACAAATAAGCAGGACAAGTTCCTTTTGAACTAGGCAACTAGCAGGACAATTCTTATCGGAACTATTCTACTGAGCGAATGTACACACAACTACATGGTGTTACCGAAGCAATATCGATACTCCACCGTGCAAAGCCTAAAATTTTAGAATAATAATAAGGCAGTGAAAACCCATCACATGATTCGCTGAGAGGTATACCCTTTGTGACCCTAGCAATTATCATAAACACAGTGGCACTAAGCCAAAATGAAGTAGTAAAGGATGCATTCCCAGTGTGCTCGTTTCGAGTTTCACCTCGAAAAATAGATTTGTTTGTTCGATTACAATTTTCTAGTATCTGTTACTTTTGAATGATATGTTCAATGAAGAAAATCCACCGATGTTTATTTATTAAATTATTTCTTCACATAAGTTGAATTTTCACACCAGTTTACTTCTTTTATTTCTTTCAGTTGGAAGAATGTCTTCTCAGACAAGGAGAGTGGTGTAGCATATTATGAGTGGGCTGTGGGTTCACATCCAGGTCATGCAGACTTCATGCCATTTACTAGAGAGAATACAGAGATAGGAGTCAGTGACCCTTCACGACCTTTGCACCTTCATGAAGGTCACTCATACTTCATTTCTGTGAAGGTAAACTGTCAGAGATTTTATTGTTTGTGTTGGTCTAATACAAGGGTGATAACAGATCTAGATTTGCAATGTATATTCATGATCACAACTAAAGTGGTTTTTCGAAGTCCGTGGTTTATGTGATTGTTCTTTTTTTTTAGGCCATCAATACTGCAGACCTGATCACACTGAAGAGTTATGGAGCATTTACAGTGGATGCAAGCCCGCCATTGGCTGGCCATGTCTTTGATGGGAACCCAGCGGATGCCCCGGCCAATCACAGAGACCGAGACTTCCAGGAGGATCGCAGAGTGATCAGGGCATTCTGGGAAGGGATTCATGACCCGCACAGCGCTATTGTTGGTTATTCCTGGAGAGCTGGGATGTGTCCAGGGTGTAGCAATGTTGTGACTGAGCAGCATGTGGGATTGGACACTGGTAAGTTTCAAAGAATATTTGTCAAATTAAGATTGACGAGATTTGTCTCGACTTTGCCACCTGTTGCCTGTATTGCAGGGAGTCAACTGTGACCGTGAACAACTCATTCTCTCACGTACACACACCCCCCAAGCCTTACCTTACATATCTACTGTGGACATTCCTTAAGCCGTGTCCGTACTGGACTTTTTTTGGGGAAGGTTTTACCGAGACGAAGGTAAAATGAGAAATGGTCAAATGTGACCACTGTCCGCACTTGGACTTTCGACACGGGAAAATTTACCCAGACCGCGTGGGAGAAGTAACCAAGCTGTCACAGTGTCAGTATAATGACTCACCGTACACAGAAAACAAATTGCCGATCACATTTTCAGCCGCCGATATGCACAGTAATATTACACACGCCATTTGCATGCGCAACATAATCGTTTACACGATATTATTTCATCTTGACACGCTAAATCTTGACGAAAAGGCCTATAATTCTGACGCATTTGTGATGCACGTCGTCGAAGCCATGCCGCTGTACGATGTTCCGTGCGCGCGGCAGCAGCGCCATCAGTATTCGTTGGTTCCCATTGCATGCTTACAGAATCGAAGCTATGATGTGGGCCAGGAACCAGTGACTACGGCCTACGTACGGTACCGGACCATGATGTTCCGTGCATGCCTACAGTAGCGTATCAGGACAAATTTGGATTGTAGAAAATAACATACATCGGTGGAGAAAGAGAATTTCCCCAAATTAATTTTCAGAACGTGATCTCTCTTCTCTGTGTATGTATTTGTCCGTTGAAATATATATTTTAACGAGATTCTACCGCTCGGACTTGATGATACACCGCAGCGTGTTTCTACAAAATGTTCGGCCACTGCATGTGCAGGTTCGTGCGGTGTCTATATGCATAACAGGGCGCTCGGGCCGGATGTACGCTTTCCTGAGCCGCTTTTACCGACTCGCACTGTCCGCACTGGACTTATCGTCTCGGGAAAAGTGACCTGGTCAGTTTTCCTGGGCGCGTGGGAAGTTTTCCTGGGCAGCAGTTGGCCAGTAAAAGTAACCGCTGGACTCAGGAAAAGTAACCGAGAGAAAAAACGTCCTAGGCTGTCCGCACTGGACTTAAAATGGGAAAAGTACCCATAGTCTCGGTTAGTTTGACCAAAAAAAGTCCAGTGTGGACAGGGCTTTAGTATTCGTGTAGTTAAGAAAAACCAGAGAAAAAAACTACCTTTACTCGCACTGAGAAAAATCTTTCAACCCATGTTTTTGTGTGTGATTTCTTTGAGTGTTCCTCTTCATTTTGGGTTGATGAACATAACCCCAAAAATGCCTCTAAACCTGTTTTCCAGAGAGGGGGAAACCTAGTGTGGACATGTGTAAGTCCACACAATGTGTGGACATGTGTAAGTCCACACAACGATCATGCTTCCTGCATCCTGTGGACCTATTCTGTTCACAGGTAACAAAAAAAAAGCATGTAAGGTTAGAGCAAAAGTGTGTAAACACCTTCAATCGCGAACCCCCTATAGTCCCTCTTTTGTTTGTACCTTAACTTTTTATGAAGACCTCCCATATGTTTTGTACACGATCGTCAATCATGGACCTTCAAGGAATTGTGGACCCTATTGTCCTCTATTGTTTAACATCCCCTATGGAATACAAAAACAAAACCACATACATCAGTGTGTAAACACTTTCAAATGTGGCCTGGCCTACACTGCGTTATGGGGAAGTTTTTTATCGTTAGGCTAATTAGGACCGAGTTGTGGGGACTTGCTGGTGTCCCCACAGCATCTTTTGGTCCCAACAAATACCATGTACAGACGAGTGTTTGTCCCCACAACTACGGAACAAGACTGTGTGAACCTTTTGTCCCTCTTTTGTTTGTACCTTAACTGTTTAGGAAGACCTCCCATATGTTTTGTACACGATCGTCAATCATGGACCTTCGGGAATTGTGGCCCCTATTGTCCTATTAAATGCAAAAACAAATACGCACATAGCCCTAGGCACATATACTTGCGAGGAAGACCTTAGTCTCCCTTCTTTTGTTCTCCTTTGTTCCTATTGAACTCCGTAGCGTTTCCCTTATGGGGTACATGGATTTCTAAAGACTCCCTTATGGGGTCTACAGGGTGGTTAAAAAAAAGGACACCCATTTTTGACAGCAATTTTCACCTACTTAATGCACTTATTTTAAATATTTTTTTTCACATAGTAGTAAAGTATAGGCCTTTAACCATGCATGCATGGTGAAAAAAAGCTTAGTCAAAGTCACAGAAATAGTGATATTATGCTAATTTGAATACAAGTCACCAAAATCAGTCTTGTCCCAGGGTTATTCTATGTAAATTGGACGTTTTCATTGTTCATAAAAATTAAAAAACCTTCCCGTCAAAGTATATTTTGTCCCGGTAACTTTTATTGAAGCTGTCCAATTATTCATGTCCGTGTTAAGATCATCTACTCAATGAGCTGTCGGCTTAAGTTCATTGCTCCATAACATGACCTAACATAATTATCAAATGCCATGCCCTTTCAAATAAAGCTCCAATAGCTGAGCTCAGTCAAGCGAAGGGAATGTATACCTCCATGGACAAACAGGTTTTGCACATGAAATGTTCAAATTAGCATAGCTCAACGACAAAATATGCAAATGCAATGATTTTTTTCGTCATATTTGCTTAAAGGCCAGTACTTTAATAGCTACTAATCAACAGTTACAAGTAATTTTTAAAAATTGGTGAAAATTACTGTCATATGTGGGTGTCCTTTTTTTGAACCACCCTGTATTGTTCTATTGAGTTTTGTAGCCTAGATATAATGATAACCCATCTAAGCATTGATGTTCATATATTCCTTCGCAGATGTCCTTGCTGAAAACCTGAACCTAGTGCCAGGTCTGACCTACTACGTGACAGTGACGGCTTGCAATGCTGCTGACCTTTGTACCTCAGTGACGTCTGATGGGGTCACGGTGGATGACTCTCCCCCATTGCAGGGGCGTGTCAATGATGGTGGTCCTGGGGGTGGTGATATCAGCTTCCAATCGTCAAGGTGATCACAAATACAAAAACTTTCTAAACTGGAGAAGACAAACCCCAACCGCCCAAATCATTGAAAGTCACAGTGCTTAAAGCAAGAAAGAATACTGATGCAGGCTGCAAGGCGGGGGGCAGCCAGTTGTTTCGATTGAATTAAGATGCTCGATTGAAACATGTTCATCTAGATAGCTCCACTTCAATTTAAACTCATTAAACTGAAATTTGTCAAGTCCCATGTTAGCAGTCTCCTTACAAGTCCATCAGTTCTGGACAGGGATAGGTGGTTAGTGGTTCATTTGAGTTTTATTTTAAGAATTTTGACAAGTGTTGGATTTGAACCTGTGACCAACAGGATTCTGTACTGGTTGCTCTGCTGCCCTTTTTGGTAGCTTTTCATATTTAAGTGTACTGTTTAGGATCTAAAGGAGCAAATTGAGATATATTTGCATTATCAACATGTCATTACTTGAGGTGTTGTTATGATGTGTTCCGTGTTCTTGTTGTTCATGATTCATTAGGCGTCAGTTGCGAGCCCATTGGTGGGGCTTCCATGATCCTCACTCGGGCCTCTCCCACTACGAATGGCGCGCCGGCACGACACCAGGAGCTGCAGACATTCTCCCCTCTACACGCATTGAGCTGTCAGAAGATGCTCTGATATTCCTGTCAGCAGCTGACCAGATGCCAGCTGGCACTGATATCTACATCACAGTCCGTGCCTTTAACCGGCTTGGTATGTGGAGTCGGGCTACATCTAATGGGTTCCGTGTGGACTCTAGCCCTCCTGATGTAGTGGATGCACCCGCTGTGGATGTGACTCAGGGGATGGCTGTCAGAAACACTCAAGTAAGAACCCAAAATGATTCACAATTAAAAACGGCCATTTTGTTTCATTCTACATCTTGGACAACCCTGTACTTGCATTGCACTGAATAGACTATTAACCCATTCGCGCTGGAGGCCGTGTATGTACGCAAAAGTTTTGTGGTATTCGGAATGAATGACGGATAAACATGTAGGGAGCGAGGCCGGAAATTTCTGTCAGTGACTCGCTCGCAGCGAGCGAGGCCGGAAATATGAGTGCACGCTGCCCGAGGGTGATGGCTTCAACCCCCCTGGCTTGAGGTGAACATACATCCCGCACCTGGTTCCATTCTTGTCAAAAAAAATCCTGGCGTGAACTGGTTAAGTAGAAAATAAGCAGAAGGACATTGTAGCAGGGGAAGTGGCGTTTGCTCTCTTTTGGATCTCATGACAACATTTAGCAACAGGAACTGACAGATAATAACCATACACAAGTACACAAGAATGTCCATAAGTTATCCTTCCTTTTGACATGTTTCCATTTAAAAAAAATTGAACAAAACTTGGAGCAGGTTTGAACCTGCAATCGTCAAATTGCTATTCGGTGCTCTACCAACTGAGCAATCTTGCCCTATATTGGTGGTTCCCCATTTTCTCAATATCTTTGTTTAAAGGGGGCTTGTCAGAAGCCAGAAACCAGTATATGCCATGTTGCCAGGGATCACGCCACATGCCATGATGCTAGCAACATAAGCAATGCTGCAAACATGGGAAATATATGGGCATAACTCAGAGAGGATGCAGCTTGTTATAACAAATATTCAATAAACCATAATTGGACATTTTCCCATATAACTAACTCTAGACTCATGGGACCGAAGGATTTCCATGCCCCCTATTTTCAGAGACATATTCTGCAGACAAGAGAGGATAAAATTAGAAACCTTTTGTGTTTATGTTTAACCAGTTAGTGCCAGAGGATGTGTAGGCCTATACACGCAAAAGTTTTCTGAAATTCAGATTGGATGACAGATAAACCCGCAACGAGTGAGGCCGGAAATATCTGTCAGCGACCCGCTCGCAGTGAGCGAGGCCGGATATCTCAGGGTGTGCTACCTGCACATTTGGCCTGAACCCGTCTGGCATCGAGGCTTGTGAGAAATAATCCCACGCCTGGGTCTGTCACTGTCAAAATAAACCCGGCTTCAAACTGGTTAAACAAGATTAGTCTTGCATTTATCCGTGATAAAATTGCTTTTGGTTTTTTTGCGATTTCAAATCTCTGTTTGAAATTAACCTGTAACATTCTTTGTTTAGGTTCTGCGGGATCTGATTCACTTTTCCTGGAAGTTCAGTGACCCTGAAAGTGGTATTAAAGACCAGTACGTATCAGTCAGCACACATCACAATGGAGATGTGAATATTCCATCAATAAAGGTAAAGTTTTTATCTGTATAAAAATATTCATGGGTTGAGATGGGAGAGGTGAAAATGAAAGTACAAAGAGTGAGCTAAGTTTACCAAATATAACCAACATAATGTGCAATCGGTCTAGGTAACAATTTTAAATACATACAGGGTGTATCAAAAAAGGAAACCCAGATGTAAATGTCAATTATAACAAATCTAATAAATGTTTTCAAATAAGTTAAAGATAATGCGAAATGTCAATGTGTCCTCTTCCCAATGATACCTTGATTATGTGTCTGTGGCCACGGATGACTGAGCATTCGTTATTCTGTCAAGAGTCAAAACCTGTACTGGGCCAAGTTTTACCTAGCTATTAAGATTGCTGGCTGGTTTGTTGTGCAAGGGTTGAAATGGACTAGACTTCCTGCAGAGCTTTGGGTGGAAAGAGGTGGTGGCCACGTTGAAGGCATTGGGCCATGAGGGGTAAACTTCACGTGCTATATAAATTGTTTTAAAGAACAGGATGCATTCTTTCTTTAAATAAAGCCGTTCTACGTGCCCAGAATACCAGTTACCCAGAGTACCAGGTACTCTTTTTCACAAACTTGGCCCAGTGCAGGTTTTGACCCTTGACAGAATAACAATGATTGCTCAGTCATCCGTGGCCCCAGACACACAATCAAGGTATCATTGGAAAGAGGACACATTGGTGTTTTACATGATTTTTAACCTATCTGAAAATATTAGGTTTTTTTTGTAGTTTACATTAATTTTGTAGTTTACATTTGGGTTGCCTTTTTTTTTTTAAACACCCTTGTACAGCCGTTCCACCTTTTTGACAGTTGGAAGGTCGACCATTTGTCACTTCGCATTCCGCTGTTTGTCTGAATTGGATTGCAGTGTATGTTTATTAGCAGCAACTTAATGGATCTGATTCTGGTATCATTCGAAGATTGCAGGGAGTGAGTTGGACTACACCTTCACCAATCTGACATTACATGAAGGCAGTCGTTACATCGTTACCGTAGTGGCTTGTAACTTTGCTGGTCTCTGCACTCAGGCCAATACGGAATCCTTTTTGGTAAGTGACATCCACTTCACAATCCCTGATCATAACCACACATGTACCTCCACCAACTTGACCTTTCATGACAGATTTTAGTACTTCTACATTTAATCTCTGGTAGACCTTTCCATCCATCAGAGTGATCGATTCAGTTCTTTGAGTTGCCATACACACATGCCATAGACTGCTTATCTCTGTTGTCATCAGTCGTCATTATTACCATTTGTGTTATTTACAATTTAGAGGTAAACTTGTGATCACATCACTAGAAAATTTTGTACCTGAAATTTTTTGACCGAAACCTTGGTCTCTATCAGCAGTATGACCCGGATGTTGCATCCTTGATCTTACAGACACGTGATCCCAACACCGCGTCATAGACTCCTGGGAGTTTGTACCTCCCCCGGTCCAGAGAAAGTTTGAAGGCTCTTATGTAGGCTGCCTCCTTCATCCCCCTTTCGAAGTATCATGCGTCTCTGTCTAAGATGTTTACTTTAGATATGTCTGCAGTGTTATTGATGTCTTAATTTATCCCCACCCATAATCCTTTTTAACTAGTTCTCTCATTAGTAAGATGGCACTGTACCATCATTTCTTGTATCATTTCTCTTCCTCAGGTTGATGGCAGCCCACCTTCTGTTGTGACTTTTGCCATTGGCACAGAGAGTGCTGCTAACTTGCAGCGTCATCACATCATCTGGATTGATCCAACTGAACCGGCTGAAACTGTGAGTTTATGATATTACTGTTCAGTCTTTGACAGTTTTGTAGAATTTTCATAGCATTTAGCTTTCAGTGAATAAAAGAAGACAAAATGCTGAATCACTGTTGCTGCTGTTTTATTGAAATTCTTGTGAAAATTCGTACTTAAGAAAGTACACCTGTTATGTTTAAATGAGAAGATATACAGAAATTTATAATTGAAAAAAGTGTTTAGGAAGTTTGTTGAAGGGAAAGCATTTGACAGACTTAACTAAGTATAGTACCAGTTTTGGTTTGCTGTTTGCATGTTGAAATCTCCAAGTAGCAACGGCAGTTTCCACATGAACCTCAAGTTCCTCTAATCAATAATAGGATGTCTTGTGCCCTACATCAGAGACTGTCAGAATCACACAAAGAAGACAACTGTCCCTTGAATCCTGCTAAAATGTTTGTGAATGTGAATTTTTTTTTTGAGTTATTGTGGTATGATTCATACAGGGTGGTTAAAAAAAAAAGGACACCCACATTTGACAGCAATTTTCACTTATTTTCAAAATTATTTTTAACTGTCGATTAGTAGCTATTAAAGTACTGGCCTTTAAGCAAATGTGATGAAGAAATCGTTGCATTTACACATTTTGTTGTTGAGCTATGCTAATTTGAACATTTCATGTGCGAAACCTGTTTTTCCATGGAGGTATACATTCCCTTCGCTTGACTGAGCTCAGCTATTGGAGCTTTATTTGAAAGGGCATGACATTTGATTGTTATGTTATGTAATGTTATGCAACAGTGAACTTAAGCTGACAGCTCATTGAGTAGATGATCTTAACACTGACATGAATAATTGGACGGCTTCAAAAAAAGTTACCATGGCAAAATATATTTTGGTGGGAAGGTTTTTTTTTAAAGAGGTTGTGGAATGCTCGAAGACATTTCCGTCATTTTTCGTGTATATGTAGCCTAAGGTGTGATGAAATAAAAACGACTATTGTTTCTGTCATGAAATGAGTACAAAAGGTACTTTTGAGAGCTGTTTTTCAGGTCCAGTTTCGACCCGAACGTGCAACTGTGTAAAAGTCGTCGTTGCGGGCAGCAAACAAAACACAGTAAATCGTGACGTAATAAACAGGACTCGTGTATGCTACTGTGCATCGGGAGTCCTGTTTATTACGTCACGATTTACTGTGTTTTGTTTGCTGCCCGCAACGACGACTTTTACACAGTTGAACGTTCAGGTCGAAACTGGACCTGAAAAACAGCTCTCAAAAGTACCTTTTGTACTCATTTCATGACAGAAACAATAGTCGTTTTTGTTTCATCACACCTTAGGCTACATATACCCGAAAAATGACGGAAATGTCTTCGAGCATTCCACAACCTCTTTAATTTTTATGAACTACGAAAACGTCAAATGTACATAGAATAACCCGTGGACAAGACTGATTTTGGTGACTTGTATTCAAATTAGCATAATAATCACTATTTTTGCGACTTTTACTAAGCTTTTTTTCACCATGCATAGTTAAAGGCCTATACTTTACTACTATGTGATAAGATATTTAAAATAAGTTCATTAAGTTGGTGAAAATTGCTTTCAAAAGTGTTTTTAACCACCCTGTATACTAACCTCCAAAACAGCCTGATGGAACAGACTACGCCACCGACTCAATCAGCTCTACCACGGAGAGTCCACCGACCACCCCATCTCCTCCACGCTACCACTCTGGCTGGATGACGTGGCTTGAAGACCCCCGTACATCCCTGGGTTCCTTAGCCCTTGCCTGGCTGGGATTTGCTGATGTACACTCTGGTATCAGCCACTACTTGGTCTCTGCCGGACGCACGTACAGCGGCTCTGAACTCACTCCGGTACCTTTGTGCTTTATTTGGAATTCCATGTCCAGCATTATATGGCTGTTATTGACAAATGAAAATTTTTCAAATAATTGCATAAATAGTTCAACATTGATCTGCCCCCCCCCCCCAAAAAAAAGTGTTAATCATTTGTTGACCATTTTATTCAATTGTATTTGAACTTTCATTGATGTGTTCTGTTTGTTGCATCTCTGGGCAAGTTTGCACAACAACCATTGTGGTCAACCAATGGTTGGTTGGTATCAAACAGGGCGCATGCGCTGTAACATTAAAGTGCGAACGACTCTAGTCAAACCATTGTCAACATATGGCGGTCACGAGTATGTTTGGATTGTTTACGTTCTTTGACCTGTTGAATGAACCGGAAGATATCTCCGAGGCCCACCAGTGGGTAGTACAACTCGCTACGGTTTAACCTTTTGTCAATGGTTCCCTCTGCACTTAAGTAACAAAACGAGGCTACTGATAACCAGTGATGCGACCAGCCCCAGTAGGCTGGTTCCAAATATTTGACTAGCGTAGTCCAACCATCGTCCAGTAGCCAGAGTTCGGGTTAACTTATTCGAACTATGGTTAACAGTAGTTCTTGCACAAACTTGCCCTTTGATTCAGTTTTCTATGTCAAGTTTTCTGTCAATTGCAAGAATCTGAAGCGCTCTTTGCTCTAGATGACTCTTTTGAACAATCCAATTCTGGTTTTGTGTGGTTTTCGAGAATGTTATATTTTGTTCAGTTTATGGAACTCTTGTGTGTCAAAAGTGAAGTAAATGACAATTTTGTTTTCCTAAGAATGGACCGGTTCGTGTAAACCACAGCAATGACGGCATGTCATTGGATGAAGGCATCGCACAGACAGCCATCATACCACTAGAGGGCAGTATAACAGACCCATCTCATCTGTATCTCTGCATCTCCATCTGGGCTGTTAATGGGGTAATGAGTTGTAATTGTTATGAATCTATACAAATGTAGATTAAAACACGTTTGGTTGGAAAAGTGTAAAACCTCTGATTTGCAAGTGTAACATTCATTTGAAATGTTACTTGTAATTGGTCTCAAGTCATCTGGGGCCATCGTGCAATTTTATAGATTCAGTTCAAATTGAGATCAGCCATTTTGGAAAATATTTGACATTATCATAATCCTCAAAGGAATGTATCTTTTCATAATTTATGAAAGGATACATTCCTTTGAGGTCTCTATTAAAATAATCATGTATGAACTGAGGAGAACTTGTGGAGTATTTAAATTTTTGGTCATATTTTAAAAAGTGAAACAAATCACAATATTTGTATTAACATTTATTCTCCATTCAACATGAAACAATACCAAATGGTGAAAGCCGAGGTTGATCAACTCCAGTTAGAGGTAGAGTAGATCATTTGCAGCTATCCAAAAAGTAACTGACTGAATTGTTGACAAGCTTACTTGGTTTAATGATAGTAATGGCACTATTACAACTCCCTGCGAAATGGTTCCTTCTTGCTTGCTGTCATTATGAAGAAAATAATAAAAGAAGGTCATTTTCCAAGGATGAGCCAAATGTCACATTTTGCAAGTGTTGACACGACGCACACCTGCGCGGGGTTGCTATTATTCATCGGCTCAGTACGCGACATCACGTATAGTTGCAGTAGCCTGAAAGAGAACGTGTGCCGCATGCTGATTTCGTGCGCAATTTAAACATGACTCAGCAACTTTAGAATTGAAACCGAGATTCTAGAATATTGTTTTCTCTGAGTGCACAGCATTCATAGAGCTAAAACTTTATCAGGTTAGTTGTTAAGCACCTGTCTTTAGTTTTTGAGCACTTTCGTTGCTTCAAACGAAAAAATGCACAAATGACAAATGATCTACCCTTCCTTTAAGATGTTAAATGGGCAAAACCTTATATTGATTTACATCACCCTGACGCAGATTCATCTCGTGAAAAGATGTTACTGGTCACAAAAACTTTGTCTCATTCTAGAAAGAGGTTTGGTTGTAACTTGATCAATGAAAGTATAAAAAGATAAACTACTTTTTGAATTCATATTGTTTTTAATATCTCTCTAGGTTGGGATACCAAGCAGCCGCCATCATTCCACTTTCGAAGCCACTCCTACTCTACCAGACGAGGGCTCCCTTGTCCTGCTGCGACGCTGCTTCCCTACAACATGCAAGGGCCATTGTGCGTGTGCACCCATTGATAAAGCATGTAATCCAGACCAGTCTTGCACTGATGTCACTCACAGTAAGTTTAGGTGTATAGGCCATTCCATATTCACTCCAACCAGAGGTCCTATATGGCAATCGACTCGGATTTGGCTTAAAAAAACCTAGAAGTACCTTTCTGTGTATAATGAACACATGCAACAATTTAAGCACCATCTCCTAAGGGTTTCTGAGATATGGCCTTAACAAAGATTGGTGCCATGCCCACTTTCGCACACGCATAAATTTATAGGGTTTTTGGAGGCTAATATCTTGGAAATGAATCAAGGATTTGTGCTGAAAATTGCTACCAAGGGTAGCAACTATTGGCACAAATCATCATTATGAGGTTAAAAAATTTCATTTGTTTAACCTGGTATTAAACCGTGTTTACTCATTGAATCCTTGACACCATAGAGTGTTGGGGTGGTTGAGGGGTGTATAAAGAATTGACAAGTCCGGCACTTTTGGGCGGTACAGAGACTAATGTGTTAATCCTTAGAACTAGATGGAGATCCAAGAACAAGGTTCTCGGTTACCCTCAGTCTGTCATGGGCTCCATGCACAAGTACCCTTTCAACAGACAGAAAGTAGAGTTGGGGGCCGGTTCTTAGTCCATCCACTGCGTATTTCGAATGATCCAAAGATATTGGGGGCGGGATTAGTCGGGGAGACCATCGCAAGTAAAATTTGATTGTATTCACGCGCTGACTACGCCTGACGCTCACGCGAAGACACTGTGGCTAATAGCTTTGGCACGTTCAGGAAGTCGTGCACACTTTGTGCTCTAACCAGTAGAGTACAGTACAGTATGCACACGCTGTGTGTCCTGTCCACGATGCTCTGAAAAGTGGCAAAAACGCGCCCTCTTTTGTTGGTGCACTGAGCCCATAGTCAAGCTTTATAGTTAGCAGAGACGCTTTTTTTCGCAGTGTACATGTATTTCCATGAACCAAAGCTGAAAAGTAACATGCCAACTGATGACAAAGTATGACAATTTTGTGAGATGATGATGATAAAGGCGCAACCTCGTACCCAGGGTGTCGAACAGTACGCGCCCATCACTACCTGCTCTCTCACCCTGGTATTGGATCATTTGCATGTGCAAGATTTTTGCACACGTATGTAAATTAGTCTCCCTGTGGGCGATGTATTCTGGGCGCACGTAATAGTCTGGTTCCGAATTGAACTTCGCATCTTCGTCGCATTCATAACGTAGTCTGTGTGGTCTGGAACTAGATTTAATAACTTGATTGGAAAATTCATGCAATACAAGGCCGGCCATGTAGTCTTCGGTGTGCAAATCAATCGTTGCCGATTGCTGATGTTGAAAACAAAGGTAAAAAGAGGCGAATCTATATTTATATCGACAACTTGTGAACAGAAATTTAACCAGACATCGTCACTTCAGTACTGCACCTCACATCTCCTCTTGTTTACTTATTTATTACGTGGTAGTGTACTGGACACTCTATTAGTAAATAGTACATGACATATTAATATGAGTGTAACTCAGACAATGTCACTGTCAGACAGAGACAGTTCAGGTTGCTAACATTATTTAGATTAGGCATTTTTGGGGGGCTACTACTACTAAACTACTGTACAAGTACAAGTAAAATCTACATCCTGGCAAATTAACAGCTTTTGGCCCTCGGTGCAATATGCAGTAAATCAGTTACAGCTCAGTGTTAATCTCAAACCTGCACAGTGTCGGGCATTATGGGAACTGTTCAATGGACATGATGTGTTTGTCATTCTTCCCACAGGCAAAAGCCTTATTTATCAGCTAGCTGTTTATATGCTTGGACATAAACTAAACATAAAAAATCCAAAACTTCTGGTAGTCACTCCTCTGAATGCCATAGTTCAAGATCAAGCCTCAAAACTTTCTAGCATTGGGGTCCAAGTTGGTATTCTTCGTGGTCATATGACTGGGTCTTGTCCTGATCATCAAAGTGATGAAGAAGAAGAAGAAGAGACAAACCGCATTTCATCTACAGATGTTTGTATTGCTGGGAGCACCGAGGAGCAACTACGCAAAGCAAATATTGTCTATGCCCATCCTGAAGCAGTTGTGTCATCTCGTCCCTATTTACTGTCTGATGCAATCCAAAATACCGTGGTTGCTACGGTGGTAGATGAAGCACATTGCATAGTAGAATGGGGTCTGGATTTTAGACAGGACTTTGCAAAGTTAGCCATTTTAGCTAGCCTATTTCCACATACTCCAACAGCTGCAATGACGGCAACCGCTCCCCAAGATTACAGAGAAGCCATAATTAAATCACTTTGCTTGAAGAAGCCAGTAATTATTAGCAGGAACCCCGACAGAGAAAACATCATGTATGCCGTAAAGAGTCGATTGCCCTCTACCCATGGTGTTCAAAGTTACTACGACATACTCTATCCAATAGCCATCAAGTTGCTTGAAGAACGCATCTGTTATCCATCCACTATCATTTACATGAAACTAAAGTACTGCGGCTATGCACACAGGCTATTTGAAAATGTACTTGGAGTTCATCAGTACTATCCAGAAACATGTGCTGGTCCAGATCACAGATTGTTCGGTCAGTATCATGCGCCCCAAACTGAAGAAATGAAACAAGTTCTGCTCAAGCAACTGTCATCACATCAGAACACATGCAGGGTTGTGTTTGTAACATGTGCAGTAGGGATGGGTGTAGATGCCCCAAGTATTCGCCATGTTGTACACATTGGAGTGCCACATACAATGAGAGCTTACTTTCAAGAGACAGGACGTGCAGGACGTGATGGTTGTCCAGCCACAGCCACTATGTACTTCAACGGTTCAGATATAGCAAAGAACAAGGCAGGCATGCAACAAATTATGCGGGAATTATGCCGAGGAGATAAATGCAGGAGAGCAACTATTCTTCAACATTTCGGGTACAAGCCAAGTGTCACACAGAGAAGTGTCCATGCCTTGAATGTGATATGGAATTATGTCTCAACCTCCTATATGATGATGGCGACTCACAGTAGGATTTGCATGAAATGTTGTATTGCACAATCTTTCTGTACATGGAAAGTAAATCAACATCCGTCATGATCGACCCACACTAGCAAAAACTTGTCTTGTATCATCTCTTTATTGTCCACCTTCAAAAACCAATCCCCAAAAATAAAACAAAGTACACGTAAAAAGATAAGCTCCCAATTATGCAATTGCAAGGAACACAATGATTATTACATGATGCCAATCAATGTGTTTCTAGTCACACTGAAAAAAAAAAAATACATTTGGCGTTAATGGTGTAAAAAGTCAAATTGATTATTTTTATTTGCTCTTATAAATGTTTTGTCTTACAAGAACTCTGTTGTGGGATGATGGTCATGAAAGGTTTTTTCCTTTCTTTTTCAAATGTTCAAATGTTTTCGTAACATTAACATCTGTGTTTGTTGCAATGTTTGTAGGCTTTGCTACACAAAGGCATTGCCCGACCAAAACAACTCTTATTTGCAAAAAAAATCTATCTTGTGTATTTTAATTAATAAGAAAAAAATTGGACAGGTTACTGGCACACTTGTGTTTTTTGGTTTGCCTTTACAATAAACCTTCTTGGATACATTTGACATGTTTACGAATCCATGAGCTTAACTTGTCGTGATTGACATTATTGATCACACAGAAGGGGACCTTTGTGAAAGTGCTGTGTAATCTTCCTGCCCTGAAGCTAAATGGCTGTAGTTTACTCAAATCTTTAATGACCTGGTATTCATCCTTTGCAGCTGACCTATGAGTGTGTTTCACTGACAAATTGTGTACACTGGTATTACCAGCAAAATTCTCAGAAATTTTCTGCAGACCTGCTTGCGCTTTTGAGATTCGTTGGATAGCTTTCACAGTTTTATTTGGTCCCATGCACTGTATTTGTTTCTTGCTTCTCTGTTGTAAATCTCTTGCATTAAATCACACTCCATATTGTTGCCAGGACCTCCTCTAATACTACAGAAACGTCCCCACAAAACTCTTTGGGCCATTTGGGGAGTTAAAAGTGCTTCCACCTGAGCAATAGCAACTAGCGTTTCTATAGCATATTTTTTCTTTTTCTGACCCATTGCATAGAAGTACAAAAGTAGCCTTTTCATGTTTATCAGGAGTCGACTTCCATCTCCCTCTTTAGTTGTGTCAATCATTTGTCGGAGAAACACATACATGTCAAGCAAACACATCCCATAAGATCTAACTCCATCTAAACGATTTACTGTTTGTGAAGGTGATGATGTTTCATCATCAGGTTTTGACACTTTTACCGAAGACGGTTGCAGATTCGGAGTGGGAGGAGGTTTTGGAGGGTTAGTGATCTGGGACGTGTGTGCAGTGACTTGTATGTTTTCCTTCACCTTCTCAACCACCACTTCAGCATTATCTTCAGGCTGTCTTACTGTGTAATTATGATCAAGGGCAACTCTGCTGCACTGAACCAATCTATCTTTGGCAACTATCATCTGCTCAGACTCATGACTGACTAGTACATACTGATCCACAAATTCAGTAATAACCTTATCAAAATACAGCTCTGTGTGAGCTTGTCGTTCTCGCTGTAGTTTTGTAGGGATGTGCTGGGTAGGTTCAGATGAGATGTCTTTCATTCCCCAGAATTGACAAGCAGCATTCAGAAGGTATCCCTTGCCAACAGTCAGAAACAGCTGCTCACACGCTTCATAATTTTTGTCAGGAGTTGTCACATTGCGCCTTCCAATCCTCTCCCGAAAGTACTTCAGAGTACCTACATCGTGAGCTGACTTGTTGCTGAACAGCACATCGAAAGCCATCTGAAAATATTTGTGTAAAAAAAGAAAGCAAACAATCTGTTAGAAGTGGGAATGCAAGGGTATTTTAAAGGTTCAATAAAAAAGTGAGTTTTCCCATACTGTGGGCGTGGAAAGATACTTGGTTTTTTTTAAGAAAGTATTCAGGCTTATGGCATTTGGAACATAAACACACATCATTTTCAGTGATTGCAAGTGGGATAAAAACTTCATCTTCAGTTCAAGCAAAAATAGTACAGATTATATGCACACTGAACATGAGCTTTGCTGTGGTTATCGTAATCACATGTATGCATGATATAGAGTGATATGGGCAGTGATATTTTGGGATTATATCGCCACCATTGTTATGAACTAACCAATTAGGATTGAGGATTCAACTTGATTTGAAGATAAATGCAGAATATTGTTAAGAATTTAAGCGGTTTAAAAACGAGAGAAGGAACATCATCATCTACAAAATGTACGTTTTTTGTTTCTATCCAAAAATTAGAAAACTTCTAAAACAAGGTCAGGAAGGCTGCAAATTTTGTTGTCATGGGTGCTTTTTGGAAAGTACAGGAAAATGCATAATCCAAAACGTACATTCAAAAAAGCCTTTTTAGCATGCCAAATTTCACAGACGAAGGGGTACAGATGATCGAACCGCTGTCTTGCAGTGTGAACTCCAGCCCTGAGATCCTTTGCCCCGGCAAGCCGGACTCTTGTCAGCTGGTCACCACCAACAGGAATGTGGACGTGCTGTAGCGGATCAGCTGGATCCACTTGCATCATATGAGATCCTGGCTGGTCTGGTCTTGACTGAACATTCGGACATGAAGCTGGTGTATCAGACTTTGCTCCAGTTTCCTGTAACACATATTTAAAAAAAAAAAAAAAAAAAAGGTAAATGCCATATTTGCTTTTGCTGTAATTTCCAGGAATGGATGGATTTGGGGTTAGTTTTTTTTATAACAAATGTTGATACACTGACCCGTTTTACAGTTATGTGTTCATAATGCTGGGAAAACCAAGAAAAAAGTGCTGTTCGTGTAGTCTGGTTCCCTGACCCAACTTCAGATGAAACAAAGCCAAAAGGATTTTTTTCGAGAAGGGGGCACATGTTTTTCCCCCAAAAAATTTCTTTATTTCACAACACATTCTTGTTTTATCATTTTTAGAGGGGGGTGGGGCAGGGACATTTTTATGCTGCCATACCACAGCTGGTACATGTGTACATGATTCTTCCAAACACACATGTACAACAGAAGCAGGTTGATTCTTTGTGTTTCAAGGTTTAGTCTTTGTGTAGAATCACCATACAACACCCAAATTTAAATGTTTTGGTTTTTGTGTGTTAAGGAAGGGCAGCATGCATTATTTTATATTTGGCAATAACTTACGTTGTCAGTGCCTGAACAGATGACAACACCCTCGTCTTGTAGATCTTTGGTATGGACATGATCATGGAAAGTAAGCTCGTCAGCTCCCAACATGCAGAAATCCGCATCCCCATCTCCCTGAGAAGAACAAGCATGCAATTTAGGTTACTTCAAAACTCAAAAGTAGAAACTTCTCATTGAATCAATTTCAATTGTAACCTTTCCAAAAAAGAGAAAATCACCCTATCCCTCACACTTTCCCCTCCTCAGGGACCCAAAACCTGTAACAACAATACTGTAGACACTGTTGTGCAAGTTCCAAATTTCCTTAAGGTTCTTAGTATTTGCTAGTGGGGGAAAATTGCACTCTAATTAAGTTATGTTTGAACCAAAACAACTATACTTTATCATTTAGTCAGTGAATCAGCACATGTATGATATGTACGAGATAGATTGGATACGTCTGTACATTTGTCAAGTCTTATTTACAGCTATTATGATCAACTATCTATGTGTGTAAGTGTCATTATTTTTTCTTTAGTAACATTTAAAAAAAAAAATGTTTTGGGTTGTGGTTGTAACAAATACATGGCCGGTGATTATTCCATTTGTATGAGACAGCAGGATTTTACTTTCGAAACATGCTTCTAACTTGTTCACACTTACTTCAGTTTGCTTTTCAACCAGTGGAGTTGCAGATTCTTTTCGAAATATATTATGGACCCATTCTTCGTATCTGCTAAGGATCTGGACCACTTCCCCATAGTTATTCTCGTTGTATGGGAGAATCTCTTGGGTAAACAGGGCACTCTTCTCCTTTGTAATGTCACTGTACTTGTGCTTGATGTGATGTGGTATGACCGACTTCATGAAAGCCAATGCAGGACAGCACTCGACAATGTCTCTTGCCACCAGAATCTTGTAGCTCTTCTTCAGTGTGTTGATTTCATCCTCGTTAGGCACGAAAGATGAGATGGGACACTGCTGGAGTGGTCGGGTTGGTTTGTCATCAGGCAGTTGTTCAAATGATATCCTGTCAAATACAATGGTGCTTGCAAAGTAATGTAAGTCAATGTTCTTTGCATCCTTCGTCATGTCATGTCGCAGAACCCGGAGGTCAAAGTTATCTCCAATAATCTGGAATTTGCTTCCCTTCTTGACCAGTTCCATTGCTTCCTCGTTGAAATGACCACCGATTTTGTTCAGCAGCACATCTTTTTGTGTGAAGGACTGGCATACTCCCACCCGCTGAAACTCCCTGTAGATCTGTTTGGAAAATAAATATTGAAGAAAAACCCTGTATGATTGAATGACTTATTAAGATTTGGATAAAGTAAATATAAAGCCTTGATCTGGGGCTGATGATCCTCTTAATACAAAATTCTGGATTAAAAAAAACATTTTGAATTTGAATTAACAAGACTTGACTGTAAGGTTTCAAATACATGTAGCTGTTTTCAGTGTGGATTTCTTTTGTACAGACTGTATAACCATGGAGGTAGAATTATGGTTTTCAGAAATTCACCCACCATTTTACACAAGCACCACTTGAAGGGGACCGGGGGGGGGGGTCCTCCACAGTGTCTCAGGCTTTGGGGGCAAAAAGCATATTTCATTTGTGGATTTTATTTGTGTTCATTATTGAAAACAAAGTGCCTGCTGCAGGAGTTATAATATTTTCCATCTTGAATATTTTCACTTGAGTGTCATGGAAAAGTTTGCATAACATTACATGAAGAATACTCTCACTCTGGGGTTTTGTTAGAATTTACCATGGTCGCTGGTGTTAATATAAAATAACAGAAATTGAAGAAAAAAATTGACTGAAATAGTCCTGGCATTGTGTGAAAGTGATCTCTTTTACCAATAATTACAACTTAGCAACTATTTCCCATATTCCCAAAGTTTCATTTACTGCACAGAACTATACAGCTTCATGCAGTTGTCACCAACAGAATTTCAAAATAAAACTAAGTGATTTTATCGGCAATTGATTTCAGAAAAACAAACAAACAAACTGACCTCCTTCTTGGCTGCTGATCTACTTAAAAGGATCGTGAACAGCTGCTGCAGTCTTCCAATGCGACAACTCCTCTGGTACAACAGCATTCCATATGCCATGCAGATAACCGGTACTTTGGCATCCTCGAAGACATGTGAATCATCACTAGCTGTTGTCACAAGGACATCAAGTAGAAATGGACACCTGAAATGTACATTACTGCAATTATTTTTCACTTTTGTGAGTTTTATTTAAAGTATAATATATGTATATGCCTGTGACTGAGTTGGCAGTTTTCTGTACAGTTTTTACAACACAATAGAAATTTCGAATTAACTTGAACTGAGTCAGCATTTAAAAGGAAGTGCTTAAATGTTCACATGTTTGTTGGGTGGGTTGGGTTACAGAGTTGATCTGTTCTTTATCAATTCCTTCTAGTTCTAACAGGAACATATCATGCATTATTTGTTGAGGGGTGTACATAGGGATGACAAAGAGAACTGATGCCACCTACTGTTTATCCATCTCCTGGAGGATGTCTCTCCAATTGAAGTTGGAATTATCTGAAAAGTCGCATTTCCTGAGTATGGAACAACGCTGCAGACTGCAGCAGTTTGCTTTCACCTCTGCCAGACTCAAGTGCTTCACTGCACTCTGTATGGGTTTTATCCCCCACATGACGTTTGCAATGGAGTCTGGATCTCTACTTGACACTATTGATGACAAGCCGTTGAATTCTTCCAAGCTCAGCAAGCGCTGATTTGAACTTGTGTACTGAAATTGAATGAAATGAAGAGAAAAAGGATGTCAAAATTGATTAAAAAGGCAACTGCATAATACTGTTATTGACACGGGTATCAACAACTTCCATGTGACTGACTCACTAGTGCTCCACCATTATTGTGAGGCACTCAGCAGTTTATTAACCAGGGGAAATCAAAAGATCAAATTTTCATGACCCTTGATCCTGAGAAAAGTTGTTCTGCAAAAGCTGCAAGTTTTTTTGATGAACTCAATGCAAATTTTGCCTTTTGTTTTACATGATTAACTAGACATCTACAGAAATATGATTTAGGACAACACTTTGCAAATTGTTTGTTTCCAAATAAAAAAATGTTTCCATATTCAGATTCAGAATTCTATTTCAAAGTGTAATTAACCAGGATCTTCCAAACTGTAGTGACTATAGGCATTGTCCCCTGTCATGCCTGTAATTCAGTTCCCCCTCCCTCCCCCACCACATTTTAAAAAAAGTTGGCGCCAAGGTCATTAACATGTCACACACTATGCACTCATCAATTGTTTCCTCCATCTTCCCCCCCCCCCCCGGGCTGCCCCACCCAAGACGTGGGGGATTGTCACTTTTGAAGTTACAAAATGGGGGGAGGGGAGGTGGGAGAGCCGGGGGAGGGGGGCAGGGGAATTTGATAGGTGCAGATATAAACAATGTCAATGTATCATCAATATTATTAATCAATCGTTATCAAATTAAAATAAAAGCACAACACAAGCAATTATTAAGGTAGGCCTAGCCCCTTTTTTTTTTGAGAGTTAATATAAATGTAAATAAATCCAAGAAAAAAATCCCATACCCGTGCGAGACCAGTCTTCGTTGTGGTTTGCCCATAAGTTGCGCACTTATGAGGCAAAGGCCTGGGACTTGCCGCTTCCGACGATGGACAGGCTTTCGGGGCAATTGGCCTTGGGGGACGGGCGCGGGCCTGGGCACCGATGTTTGGCTCAAAAATCCGCCGTTTCGCAGTAGGAACACTCTGAGCAGGAGAAGTCAGGAACCGTTTGCTACGACTGGTACGACTTAGTGTCATTTTAGCGATGTTCACACGTGCCTCCTCCAAAAACGTAACCATTTTGTGCACCTTCGTTCCACAACTTCGGCAGAGTATGTCACCAACCAAGTCGCTCAAACCCGGAATGGGTACGTTGAGTTGTGACAGCAATTGCGGGAAATTCTTTTTTCGTCCAATGACTCCCCATAAGTGCGTTCCATTTTTGTCCCTTTTGGAGCACAGCATGCAAGTATCAGATTTGACTGGGGTACTTTTAGTTTTACAGGGACTGGGCGTCACCATTGTAGAAACTCGGCAAGACTTTCTGGGCTAGAAAAGTTGTAGGCCTACCGTGTGTGACTTTCAGACTATTTCGCGCGCAATCTAACTTAACTTTTAACGAGCTTAAAAAGAAGTCACCAACTGTACGGTGTAATTCTTATAGATGAATATCAGAGCACAAGTACAGAGTTTCCTATCCAGGGTTTACTATTGGAAACGAGGTTGGAAATAAAGTAAGCACTGGGGACGAGGTTGATAAAGGCATGGGTTTTAGAGATGTGAGCAAACATCTTTAAGCAGAAAAGTGATAAACATCAGTTATGATAGTAAGGAAATGATGACATGCAGCTTGATAACTATTTAAGCAGGATTCAAACCAGTGCTGTTAAACTGTTATGTTATTTTGATTGTCTTGACCCATTCTTTTACGATGACTTGAAGGTAACCCCAACACTGAGATAGAAGTTTTGGATGTATTGGATCTGATGAATGATGATATCAATAATGTGATTGATATTGATGATACCGCCACTCAGTCTATGGCTGCTGCAGTATGGCGAGTCACTGAGCAGAAAGGACTGGATATTAAGTGGTGAGACATGTGATTTATATCGATTATGGAATTGATATCTGTGAACCATTTACTATATAATTCTTGAGTGACTATGCATCTTTAGAAATTGATACTTGGTAAACTTTTACCCAGTTTAATAGTGGTGGCCACTGCTCCTTAAAGGGGTTTTTGATATGTCGTTCTATGATTGACGTTTATGATTTAATTGCAGGATTGAATTTTGAAACTAATTTACTCAGGTCTGTAAGATCTTTCCAACAACTTTACTTCATGTTTTTCGAAACACCCCTCTAGCTATGCTATGGTATGGCCCTCTCGCGAGAAGTAAAAAAAAACTCCTTATATGGAGATTGGCGCGCGTGTACCGCGTGTACTGCGTGATGTGACGCAGAATGCAGCTGTGCTTGTGTAGTGTGAATTTAGGACTATGAAATACTGACTCACTTGTGGTATTGCGCATGCATGCATGAGGATTGTGAACGTTCAACCAATAAAACTGTACTGGCACCAGATTTTAGAGGAGTCCAAATTTCATGTGAAATTTCAGCTGGTCTTTATCAACCGTTTAAAGCCGGCCTCGTGACTGGCTGTCTACCAATAGGATTGGGTAGACTGTCGTAGAAATTTATGAATTTATAATATTTGCAGGTTCGAATGGAGCATTGGTGATGACTCTTCATCAGATCCTGTGGGAATCTTTGATCCAGTTCAGGATAGGTTATGGTATGATATTGGACAAAACAACCAAACTATCATCACACTGGATGAAGGTAATGAAATCCGTCCAATTTATAAGTCAACGTTATAAATAATGAAAAAAAAAAGTTTTTTAATAAATGTTGTACATAATGTACTAAATTGTACAGGGTGAGTAAAAAAAACGAAACCCAAATAGCAGGATCATTTTTTGAATGAAGTTTTGCCTGTAGCACTTTCAAAATCTAGGATATGAAATCCAAATCTCTGAACTTTCTTTTAGTACAAAAAAATCATTCAAATCACTCATGTACTTATCAAGTTACGGAATTTTGAACACAAACACCATTTTAAATTGATCCACAGATCACAAAAAAGTGTTCTTTTAGTAAAACGAAAACAATTCATGTACAACGATTCATGAGAATCGTTTTCGTCTTGCTGTAGGAATATACGTGTTTGCGATCCTTGGACAGAACTTTAAAACAGTGTTTGTGTTAAACATCCCGTGACTTGAAAAGTACATGAGTGATTTGAACTATTCTTGTACTAAAAGAAAGCTTAATTACTGGGCTTTGATATCCTAGATTTTGAAAGTGTTACAGGCAAAACTTCATTCAAAAATTTGTCCTGCTATTTGGGTTTTGTTTTTTTTACTCACCCTGTATTGCATTGTATCTGTTCCCTGATGAATCGATCCATAATCCATATATTGCTCGGGCGGTTTAGGGCACAACAGGGACTGATTGGTTATTAAAGTTTCTTATAAAATGAGCAGAATGTCAACCTGACCTTGCTTTTTCCCCCTTTTTTTGTTGTGTACAAGAAGCAAAGAAACTAATGTTAATATCTGTTATAGATCACAAGATGGAGAAGGGAGTCACATATCATGTGTTCATCAGGGCCTGGTATAATCCTACTACATACGCAGTGTTCAGATCAGATGGCATCACCCCGGATATCACACCACCAAAAATATCAACAGTCAGAGGTGCAAAGGTATGAGAATTAGAGAGTCAGATGTACAAATGGAATCTGACAAAACCAGGCAATATATCCTTTCTTTGGTTCTTTAACAGTGCTCTTTCTTCTAATAATGTGAGATCATTGAGAATACACAAGCCATAATTGCAGTTTTATCAAACCTCTTCAGCCAATCATTCCTTCAATATTGTCAAAGTACCTGAATGAAATACGTTTTTGTTCCAGATAAAAGATCTTGCCAGATTTTATGCCAGGAAAGACACTGATTACTTGACGGATCCTAACGTCCTCTTTATCTCCTGGAAGAGAGTGTTTTTAGACGACGCGATGTCCCACTACCAGGTGTCTCTGAGTACCTACCCAGGAGGTAAGTACACTCAAATCTCACCAAATCAACTCAAAGACTCACTTTTTGTCTCGCCTGAATGAAGTTCAGGAAAGAGACTATGCAATAGCCCTGTCCGCACTGGACTTTTTTTGGTCAAACTAACCGAGACTATGGGTACTTTTCCCATTTTAAGTCCAGTGCGGACAGCCTAGGACGTTTTCCTCTCGGTTACTTTTCCTGAGTCCAGCGGTTACTTTTACTGGCCAACTGCTGCCCAGGAAAACTTCCCACGCGCCCAGGAAAACTGACCAGGTCACTTTTCCCGAGACGATAAGTCCAGTGCGGACAGTGTGAGTCGGTAAAAGCGGCTCAGGAAAGCGTACATCCGGCCCGAGCGCCCTGTTATGCATACAGAGACCGCACGAACCTGCACGTGCGGTGGCCGAACATTTTGTAGAAACACGCTGCAAGCGGTAAAATCTCGTTAAAATATATATTTCAACGGACAAAAATACATACACAGAGAAGAGAGATCACGTTCTGAGAATTAATTTGCGGAAATTCTCTTTCTCCACCGATGTATGTTATTTTTCACGATCCAAATTCGTCCTGATACGCTACTGTAGTCATGCACGGAACATCATGGTACGTCCGGTACCGTACGTAGGCCGTAGTCACTGGTTCCTGCCCACATCATAGCTTCGATTCTGTAAGCATGCGATGGGAACCAACGAATACTGATGGCACTGCTGCCGCACGGAACATCGTACAGCGGCATGGCTTCGACGACGTGCATCACAAAATGCGTCAGAATTATAGGCCTTTTCGTCAAGATTTAGCGTGTCAACATGAAATAATATCGTGTAAACGATTATGTTGTGCATGCAAATGGCATGTGTAATATTACTGTGCGTATCGGCGGCTGAAAATGTGATCGGCAATTTGTTTTCTGTGTACGGTGAGTCATTTTACTGACACTGTGACAGCTCGGTTACTTCTCCCACGCGGTCTGGGTAAATTTTCCCGTGTCGAAAGTCCAAGTGCGGACAGTGGTCACATTTGACCATTTTTCATTTTACCATCGTCTCGGTAAAACCTTCCAAAAAAAAAGTCCAGTGCGGACAGGGCTAATGACTAAGTCTGCACAAGTCATGTATAGTGTGTACATGTATGTGGTATTTTGGTTAAAGTTTCATCAAATTGGTCTCGTTTCAAAAGTTGAAGTCCAATTGGAACCAAACTTGAATCATAAATACAACATAGAAATCTTCTTCTGACATTGATGTCAAAGGTCACATACCAAGGTCAAAGGGGATCTGGGGTCAAGTTGTAAAATAGGCTGAACATGTTAAATTGCTTTCATTTCAACAGTTGAAGTCCAATTGGAACCAAACTTGGGTCATAGGTGCAACATGGCAACCTTCTGTGATATGTGATAATGAAGTCAAAGGTCACGTACCAAGGTTAAAGGTCATCTGAGGTCAAGTTGTAAAATGAAGAACCAACGTGCGAAGTTTCATGCTTTTATCACAATTTGCACAATCCTTTAGCATATCGGGGCTATGCCGTGCCACTATCGGTTCTTTGTTAAAAAAAGTTTTCCATGAGAAATGTCGGAAATGTAAAAAATAAAATAAAAGCCCTGAATTCATACACAGTCATAATAAAATAAAACAGGACGTGTCAAAAAGTAACCACTATGCACTGCAGACTGTCAGATTGGTTCTGTTTAACCGATGAGATTACCTTTGTGCTGGTCCCAGAGGGCCAACCTACAGTCCTCTTTGTACCTATCTCACTGACTCACTGACGGACTGGCAGAACGTATTGGTCTCATTTCAAAAGTTGAAGTCCAATTGGAACCAAACTTGGGTCATATACATGCAACATGGCAACCTTCATACTGATTAGTCACTCTTTAAAGATATTCGCGAAAGCAGGCGACGCATGGTTCGAGAACCATCTTGTTTCCTATATGAGTCACCCTTGCTCTTTAAAACATGTACTAGCAGGACTAGAGGTCTCTGTGATGCGTTCTTGTCATGTTTTGCCTGACTTCAAAATGTAAAAGACGTAAACTATCTTGTTTCTCAGGTGAAGATATTCGTCAGTTTGCTGACCACACCTTCCCGGCCAGTGTGTCCTCCACACAGTTCACCAATCTGAATCTAAAGAGTGGACTGCGATACTACAGCAACGTACGAGCATTCAACAAAGCTGGTCTGCACACGCTGAAAAGCAGTGATGGCTTTGTGGTGGACACAAGGAGGCCAGATGCAGGCCTTGTGTTTGATTGTTAGTTTCTTGATTTCTTTATGCCAATCTCTGGGGTTAGAACATTTAAGGTGTCTCACGCTCTTTTTGTAGAATTCTCGTTTCGATTGTTTTATAAGTCTTGAAACCTTGTTACGCAGGAATCTCCAAAGGTAAGTTTTGCCATCCACATTAAACTTATAGGTGCAATACCGTTCTTTGGCACAATTAAGGCTCGGGTCACCGAGAAATGGCGTTTTGACGAATAAATATGATAAATAACGGCAACAAGGAAATACAAAGTTCATTGACCTCTTCGAGGGCATCACTACCTCAAATATGATGTCCCCACATCTGAACATTCTTTTCATGGCACAAATGTTGGACTTGGGTCATACGATTGTGTAAATCGTGTTAATATCCATAGGTAGGCTTTGGTTTTACAAAGGTCATGACCTCTCGTAAGGTCACCTGTGGTTAAATATAAAATACCCTATATATGAAAATTCCCTTTATAGCATGAATGTCTTTCATTTAGACTTGAATCGTGAAAAAGCTGGGGTTCTAAGAATAAATCTTACAAATATCTATAAACAGGTTTACAAAGGTCATTTACCTCTCAAAGGTCACCAGAGGTCAGATATGAAATGTTCCCACATCTGATCATTATTTTCATTGTATGAAGACTTCTGGACCTGGATCAATACTGCAAGCTATCTCCCGTTATGTGATGTATATGTTGCAGGCTTATGACATAGACTTAGGTCATAGGAAAGTGAAGTTTTGAAGAACAAACGTTATGAATAGAGTGTAAAGTTCATTGACCTCTCAAAGATCACCAGAGGTCAAATATGAAATGCCTGTATATCTGAAAATTTTCTTCATGGCATGAAGAACCAACGTGCGAAGTTTCATGCTTTTATCACAATTTGCACAATCCTTTAGCATATCGGGGCTATGCCGCGCCACTATCGGTTCTTTGTTAAAAAAAGTTTTCCATGAGAAATGTCGGAAATGTAAAAAATAAAATAAAAGCCCTGAATTCATACACAGTCATAATAAAATAAAACAGGACGTGTCAAAAAGTAACCACTATGCACTGCAGACTGTCAGATTGGTTCTGTTTAACCGATGAGATTACCTTTGTGCTGGTCCCAGAGGGCCAACCTACAGTCCTCTTTGTACCTATCTCACTGACTCACTGACGGACTGGCACCTGTGAATACGATTTGTTAAAGCCTCACCTTGGCCCCCAAATAATATCACTCAGATGACTACTTTGAATACTTCTACCAAGTTTAAGGGACGAGCTAAAGGGGGCTTGCCAGCTGTCTTGTTTATTATTTCCTCGTCTTAACATTTAATATTATAGACAAAAAGAGCTTCACTTTGTAGCAATGTATAACCAAAGCTGCTGTAAATATAACTGCGTGGTTAAGTAACTTTCTTGACAAAGAGGATTTCGAAACAGTTGCAGGATAATTCTGCCAGAATGGGACGCACTGAATTCATGTTCAGTTGTATGTACTTAATAGGTATTAGTGTCGAAGCATGTAAAAGCTGTTCGTGTACAATGTACGCATGAACGGTGGATTCGCAAGGACATACACGCAAAATCATGATTTGTTTTTGAAATTTCTTCCCCCTTTGGCATGTAATTTTTAAAATTATCAAAACATCTATTCAAGCAAAACATGTAACGTATACGTTTCATAAAAAAGCGAAAGTTTAAAATACTTATTCTTGTCTATTTGCAGACATTTCATCAAGCCCTAAGTATTTTAATGATTTGAAGTGTTTTTCCCAAGCGCGCTATTTGAACAACGTGAGAAACTTCACGATTATGAAACTTAACAGAATAACACTGGTATTACATTCTGTTTCTCAACTTGAGTTTTCACTTTATTACTTTTAAGTAGGGGAGGGGGAGAGTGGGATTCTAAATAATAACAAAATGGCGTCTTTTGCGATTTGGAAAAAATATCTTTAATTAATGTTCATGCTTTTGTTGCACTGATTTCGTCAGCTTATTACATTACTTAAAAGATTTTAATCAAAAAATAAAATTACTTCATGTTTAGCCAATAATCATGTGGTTTCGCAGATTTGTTGATTGTCGAATAGAAATATCTTTTTTCTTGAATAAATTGTAATTATTTGGATCTCATTGGACATAATTAGACATAATTAGAGGAAGTATATAGTACATTGAGAAAACAATATTGTATAATGTATGGCAGTCCCTTTTGATTTCTTAATCCGGCTTCTTTGGTTTGATGAGAGCCTGTAGTTTCAGCTTGATTTGTCGGAGCGGTTTAATAATTGGATTGAGTCTTGGTTTGGGTTGGGCTGGACTTGTTGCTGGGCTGTGCTGGTCTTTGGCTTGGTTGGATGTGGCTTGGATGGGATGGGCTGGGCTGCCTGGACTTCGATTGGCTGGGTTTGATTGGGTTGGATTTGGATTGGCAATGGGTTGGGCTGGGCTTATGGGCGGATCCAGGGGGGCCAAAGGGGGCCATGCCCCCCCTAAAAAGAATCCATTTTTTTAGTGACTTCGCAATAAAGGCAGGCAATGAGTACCGCACCATCTTTTCCTCAAAAAAACATTGGTTAAAGTGGTCAGAAATTACCTCAGATCGCACCACAGAGCATAGAATCCCATAAAAATTTCGGGGCCCTCAAGCGGGCCCCGAACCCTACGCCGTATTTTTGATGGACACACTTTTTGGGGACCAAAGTTTTTTTTGCCAACCCAACAAATTGTGTTCTGGATCCGCCCTTGGCTGGGCTTGGTTGGTTTGGGTTGGGCTGGGCTGTGCTCGGCCGATCTGGGCTAGGCTGATCTAGTATGGCTGAGCTTGGCAATTCTAGTCTTTGCTGGGCTAGGCTGGGCTATGGCTGGGGCTCCGTTCGGCTTGGCTTGTGCAGGCTCGGCTCGGCTCGATCCGGTACTAGGCTTTTTTAGTGGCAAGGTTTACGTAGAGTGTTTTACGGATACACCATGTGAAGTAAATATCCGCTAAAAAGTGAAGCGACTCTGAAAAGAACTGACGGTGAACACGGGATTGGGCCATGGTTTTTTTTTTTACATTGCTTGTATCGCTTTATGACGGGGTGACCATTATTTCCAGAGATAACTGGCGTTGCAACCTCCTGTTCAATACGTGGAGTTGCAGCCTGTAAGAAACGCAGAATGCGAAGTTAAACACACCAGTTTGGTATTCTAAATGCAATGGTGGGATTCCTGCTACACGGGCGCGAATTGGCACAGAATCAAGCCTAGAGCCTCGTCATCACAACACTGCGCTGCAACAACCAAGTACAATTTATGAAGCACATAGACAATAAAGACTATACAAACCTCGAGAACGTGGGATTAGACATGAATTAGACATGAAAAAAATATGTGACAAGTTAACCCGTCTCAATGGAAAGTTTTTGAACCATGCACATTTTATTTGCTGTCATATCTATTGAAAAAGAAAACCGGATACGTATACGATCGACAGATATACAAAGCAGAACCACGAAATAAACATTATTAAATGGACAATGATGAGATCATTTCAAATAAATTGCTAACAAGAACGCGGATGTACCTCGACGGCGAGGAGCAGGAGAACACGCGCGCGCGCAACTTGGAACACCTCTGACATGCGCAGACACCGCCACCGCCGCCGCCGTCTTTATTCCATCTTTTCAGCGTTTATTCTATCTACAAATAGAACATGATCCACAACTTGATCCACACAGATCCACAACTTGATCCACAAACTCCCTTCTCAACTAAATCCCCCTCCTTCTCACATATCCACAACTCGCTTAGCCTTGGTCAATGCTCTCGTCGTTATTCGTCCCGTACGCGGTCAATCGTCGGCATACATGTATATCCTCACGCGCTATGCTCATGCATGTAAAAATACAGCGCGAACAGCGACCTCACGCAGCCACCATTTTTATATGCAAATCAGTTGGGGACGATCGAGAGCCTTGGTTCAATCGTCCATGTGAGGTTTTTGGGGTGGTGCTCATTATGTTAATAGCCTTAGCTGACCTTAAATGTCGTTTTCTTATTGGTCGATCGTTGCGTGGAAACTTGCATAGTGAAACGTGGCACCGTACATAATCCATACACGTACACGTTGTGTATCTCTGCACACGGCACCAATGCACAAAAACTGTGGTTCTTGTCACGTCCGCAAAAGGCGAATAGCTGCAAATAATTGATGACGTCCGGATTTACCAAGGTGTGATGGGACACTCCACATGTTAGCCCCGCCTACACTTATCTGTATTCGCATACTAGGTCGTGCGCTAGAAATCCAGCGCAAAATAAAGAAAAACATAAGCTTTTGCCGACGATTGAACCAGGGCTCGAGATCGTCCCCAACTGATTTGCATAAAAAAGTAGTGGCCGCATGAGGTCGCTGTTCGCGCTGTATTTTTACATGCATGTGCATAGCGCGTGAGGATATATGCCGACGATTGACCGCGTACGGGACGAATAACGACGAGAGCATTGGCCAAGGCTACAACTCGCTCCTCCTCATCACCAACTCCCTCCTCACAACTCACTCCTTAACTCACTCCTCCTCCTCACAAAATCCTCAAAACAATGCCCGATTTACCCCTCGCCTACTACTCATCCTGTTGTTCACAATATGGCAATTATTTAACACACCTAATTTTTGGTCCATTCCAATGACATTACCACAGTTAAGAAACTTACACTGTACCTATTTGTGCATGAAATTCATGTCGCATTGTGTCCTAGTTCTTACCAACAAAAACATCAATACACAGCACATGACAAAAGTGCAAACGAATTTGATGAAAATACCTTATTTTTTAGCTCAATTATCAACCTTCTAGGCATCATAAATATCTCAATATAAATGTAATAAAGAAATTGCACAAATTAAAGACAATTTTACATAATTGGCATTTTCTCAGCAACCCAATGTGCTGTTTATATGATTTTTTTTTTGAACATGTATTTGGAAGAAAGACTCTCAACTTAATCTGATATTTAAAACTTAAAACACACAAGTCGCGATTTTGAAGAAAAAAAATCTACCAGGGTCACCCTGTATAGGAGGCTATTCACCCATTTTTTTGACTGGGGGAGACCGTAAAAGATCGACTGAGTTGAATAAAAAATATTCATTTCCGCCCTAAATTTGCCTTTAAAACGTCGCCATCAATCGAATATAAAATGTAATACTGAAAGTGTGTGTTTACAAAGTAGCCCTGTAGTTAAATAAATAAAATAAATCAAATCAGGAAACAAAACGAAAGAAATGCCCAAATGCATTGTTCTGTTATGACACATTTTGTGTTTTCAGTATTTGAACTAAAAACCTCTCAGCTTTAAGCCGATATTTAAAACATAAGAACATTACAGATTGCGTTTTTGAAAAAAAGGCAATTGTGTCAGAGTTGCATTTTTGGTCACCCTGTATAAGAGGCTATTTACCCATTTCTTTGACCGGGGCGGAAACAAAACGAAAGAAATGCTGACATGCATCGTTCTGTTATTACACATTTTGTTTTTCATTCGCGTGCACAAGTTTCTTTTTTACATTACATGACCGAGTGGCAAAAGGAAAACCTGTGACACTATCACATGCCAGCCGCAAGTTACAAGTTATAAAGAGGAAACGATAAATAATTGGGTGATTTGATATCAAATTCGAATAGGTATTCATGTGTGTAGTGTTACTTATTCGCGCCACAGCAGATAATCTAAGTCGCGAGCGTGCAGCGAACCACGCGAAACACCATGATGCTACTCAAGCAACAACAGGTACAATTTCAGCCAGCGTCTTGGAGGTACGTGTACTTCCTTCTGATGAGTGTGGTTTTGCTGAATTGCATTCCTCGAGAAGTGACACCTCTGTTTCTGACAAAAGACTCAGCTAGGCCAGCCAGCGAGTTCATTAATATCACAGAAGGCAAGACACTGTCTATGAACTGCTCTGCCTCGAGCAAAGCTTTATATCGAGTTTGGTGGGGTAAGTCAAATGGATCCGAAGACACTAATTGGCTCACCCAGAATTCCATCATTCAGACAAATGATCCCCGAGTTTCCATTGCAACTCGCTCGTTTGGCGAGCACAGTGCATATTCTTTGCAAATAACCGACATCACCGAATCGGATGCTGGAAGGTACACTTGTTACGCTGCGTGGGGCGGTGATAACTTGTTAGGATACATCTTCGTATCGGTGCAGTACTTTCCGGCAGAAAACCCGATCTGTGCCACGAATGAAAGCGATGAGATTTCAACCGAAAGCATCGCCGTGTGGTGCGACACTGCGATCGGCAACCCTGAGGTAACCATCACTTGGAGAGTGGACCATTCTGACAAGGAAGTCACAGGTAGCATCTACAGCACTGAACTACCGCAGAACGAACGCGTGAGGAGTGTTGTTAAGCTCGGGGAGCACCTGCAGAATCAAGTCTTGGTATGCACGGTGACTAGTTCTGCATTTCCAGGACAGAATCGGAGTTGCTCTATCGGTTCCATCTTTCTTAATACCCCAACCGCCACTGGTCGAGTTCCAACAGCTGTTACTGTAGCTGCAGAGACTTCAACGGTAGCTGCAGAGACTTCAAATGTCACACATTCCAACACTGGCATAATTGCAGCGGCACTACTTACCCCTTTCTTTATGATTGTCGGCTGTCTGCTAGTGATGTGCATCCTGAAACGGAAGAGGCATCGAGAACTCGAGAGTGAGAACACAAATGCAGGAATCTCCGGAGATAGGAGCGACGATGTGACGACCGTTGCCGCTTCTTTAATCCCTGACACAGTTACGGAATTGGTGCATGGGGCCAAGAGGGAAACTACCGCAGTCAGTTTGAAGCAAAACTCCCGGGTCAAAGTTCAGTTGGACACTTCTTGCGGATTGGTCACTTTCGCAGACGTACCGCATATGGATGGGAGTGTGGAACATGGTCTTAGTGTCGTCCCGGACAACACTGTCTGCGACTTCGTCACTCAGGGGACACAGGACGAGGACACCGTGTACGAACATGTCAACTAAAGCAGCAGCAGCAGCGGTGTCATGGGGACTAAGGGAGTTGACACCGATGTCGTACCGGAAAGTGACAATGACACTTCAAAGCCTGGAGGCACTCCATCGACGACTGATGAATGGATGGTGGATAATCCTATCTATCATCACTCAGCCGTGAATTAGAACAGAAGGTGCATGGCTGATTGTTTCCCGTGAAAAAAAATCATGCAGAACAAAAGTTAGTGTCTGCACGATTTGTCACTCAAAGATGGCCCAGTAGGACGGATCATAAAAACAGAATTCATAATCGAATACATGTACAAATAATCGATACCAACAAGCAAACCAGCACCCAATTTCATGAAACTCTTCGTAACTTACGATGCATTGCAGCGATGCCAAATGTCGTATCCCTACGATGCGTCGCAGCTGCGACGCGTCCTGCGATCCATTTCACAAAACACGTCGTAAGTGCGACGCGTCGTAGGTGTATTTATAGCACAACTCGGTCACTGCTTTATGTATTTAGTCAGCGTACAGTAAATAGTCGTCTGATATTCAACAAAGAATCGTGGGATCTGAGCTCGAAATTTGTTAAAACGTAAAAATGGCGGCCGTGCGATGCAATTTTGAAGGAAAACAAGCTCTCATTGGACTGTTTAGCTACTTTGAAATTTCAACTCTAAAATTCCGGTCTAACTCATAATTATTCAATGAAATTTATAGTTAAAACTTTACACACATTTTCTCGGTATTATAATCTCGTTAATGTAATGCTTATGGCATAAAACTGGCTTAGAAATGACTCTTCTTATTCTGCGATGACCACTAGACACGTCGTAACTTGTGACGTGTTTTAAGCCGTTGTCAAGGAACTTACGACGCGTTCAACACATTGCAACTTTCGTGAAATGGACTGAGATACGACGCGTCGCGAGTTGCGACGTGTTACACGTCGTGACTCGAGTTGCGACGCGTCGCAGCGCTTCGTGAATCGGGTGCAGGAAATAAAATTAAAAATACCGAGGATTCCATTCCAAATAAATCTTTCTTCCACTTTTTAAATGAGTGATTGTCTTGACTTGACTTAAAGCTGACAGCGATTGGGAGACATAATCACTATGTACACGGTAAAAATGGTGCCTAGACTTTAAACATTGTTGGGGTACTTACTTTTTTTCACACAAAGATTAATTAAGAATAGATCTCCTTGGCAATTAAAGGGGAAAACAATCAAATTAGCACGAATTGAAGGCAATATTTACCGCCAAGGTGTTTTCCAATGATTTGATTAAACTTTATCTTATTTGAGTAAATTGTAGACAATTAGTGAAAGAAATTAATACTATCCGGAAATCAGCCGGTTAAAATATGCTAAGTTTGAGTAAAATATCTTTCACGTCAAATCTGTTAAAGGATGTTGACAAGTATTATGCTAAGACACAAAAGCTATAATAGAAAGCCTATACCACAGCTTATGCCAAAGAATACCAGTGGTGGGCCACCAGCGACAAAAATATCAAGAATGTTTGGCAATATGTGTAGTATAGTATGTCAAAGATATGCTCAGCTATCACAATGTAAATGTTCTACGTGTAAGCATTGTATCACTATATCCATACAAATATTCAACTAAATTTGCAATGATGAACTATAGTAAATGTATTTCACATCAGCTTACAAGAATAGCGTCAAATATTGAAATATGGTTATCTTACTGTCTTGCTTTGAACAAGTATCAACACGTCCAGCAATATATATAGCCCAGATGTAAGTACCCAAAATAGTTAAGGCGTAATACAGTTTAGGAAATGAGCTATTTATGAGTTAAATCTCAATTAAGAGTTATGGGCTTAATTATGATATGGTTAAAATATACTCTGAGTAAGGTGCACTCTTGAGCAAAATGTAGTCTGAGTTAATCATGAGTAAAAAGTAATCTGAGTTGTGAGCAAATAGTAATCTGAATTATGAGCAAATAGTAATCTGAGTTATGAGCAAATAGTAATTCGAGTTATGAGCAAATAGTAATCTGAGTTATGAGCACTGTGCAGACCCGCTCTCTCCACTTATAAGAGTCAACCTGTGTAAACAACACACAGAGCGAATACATAAATAGTCGTCGAGACCATACATGAAACAGCCGTATGCTTCACGCGACTAATCTTCACACAAAACTTCACACACAGTTTCCCAAAAGTGCTTCACAGAAAACTTGTCCAAAATGACAGATTCTGATTTTGGTTTGAGTCCACACTCGGTCCACATGTTCTATGAACCTGCATTTATAACATGGTTAGCTCAAAATAAGGTATTTCGATGAATGAAATGTGCAAAATAAGTGAGATTTGCAGAGAAAGTGGAACTTACTTCTTTACGAAGGGAACTCCAGCAAGAGAGAGGACGGTTTCGTACAGTGTGCCGAAGCACGTCGCGTAAGATTACAGTACTGGGCCTACATATCCGGCATAATATAACAATTGACAAACATTGTTTCGCTATTATTATGACAGGAATATTCAAATGCAATGATCGTGATTCATTACAAATATTGATTAAATGTCCAATAATTTGTATGGAGATAGATCAATTACATTTATGGGCTTATTTTACCTAAGCGCATGCACGGCATGGTTGCAGTAACAGTAAACAATAGACTGGTCTCAAGGCGGAGTGAAGTCTTGTTTCGAGTCGTATCGCCACAGTAACATCATTAATAACTTATGAAAAAGAAACAAAAAGTGTAAAAGTGGTAAGTGTTATTTCTTTTGCTTTTGTTATTTATGCTTGGTGGTTCTTTATAGGCTTTTCTCGTGTACCTAAACATGCCACATCCATAAACCTAAACAAGTCGTTTTATAAAATGCGTGGAAAAACTTAACTGTTTTAGAGAATATGCACAAGCTCTAAACACACCTTTTGCTGTGTAAGGTAACATGCATGCGTCGGAACCCCTCTCATAGGCGTAACCAGCGGGGTCGGGGGGGGGGGAGTAAGAGGGGTATTTACTCCCCCCCCCCCATTTTTTTTTGTAAAGACTGCCCTTTTCCATTCAAATGACCTTTTTTTCACCACTGCTTACCCCCCCCCTCGCATTTGTAAAGAGTTCCCTTCTTTTGTTAACAATTGCTTTTATTCTGAACAGTAATATTGCCCTTTTTGGTAAGGTCACCAGTGGTTGAAAATAAAATGTCCTATATATGAAAATCCTCTTTATAGCATGAATACCTTTCATTTAGACTTGAATTGTGAAAAAAGATGGGGTTTAAAGAATAAATGGTACAAATATCAATAAACAGGTTTACAAAGGTCATTTACCTCTCAAAGGTCACCAGAGGTCAGATATGAAATGTTCCCACATCTGATCACTATTTTCATGATATGAAGAGCCATGACAAAGGGTCATAGGAAAGTGAAGTTTTGAAGAACAAACGTTATGAATAGAGTATGTAAAGTCCACTGACCTCTCAAAGGTCACCAGAGGTCAAATATGAAATGCCTTTATATCTAAAAAAAAAATCATGGGATGAAGAACCAGCATGCAAAGTTTCATGCTTTTATCACAATTTGCACAATCCTTTAGCATATCAGGGCTATGCCGCGCACCAATATCGGTTCTTTGTTGACAAAAGTTTTCCATGATAAATATCGGAAATGTAAAAAATCCTGAATTCATAGTCACAATACAATTATACAGGGCGTGTCAAAAAGTAACCACAATGCACTGCTGTTGCGGGTAGGAAAGTTTTCCAGTTCGTTCGTGACGTCATAGGCGTGGAATTTTCTTGGTCAACAGAGGGCGCTCTCAGCGCGCCAGCATTGTCACATATTTTTGTCAAGTTTGTAGAAATCCGTCAAAAGGTTCCTTTGATTTTGCATCATTATTCGATACGCCCAATGTTGTGAGTACTTATAATTGTTTAGAGATTTAGAAAAAGGGTTAAAGATAATTGTGTATAAAGGGGGGTAATAATTATGGTCATTAGATATAGTTATTTTGGGTCAACTTTTGGGGATAAAATTTGGGTAGAATTAGCGATGCACGTTTTATACACGTTTACTAAATAATGCACGTGACACATGATTCTCACATCAGTTTCATCAGTTTATATGGATTACTGTCAACCAAGGTTAATTTTGGAGACTTGGATATTAATTTTAATGTAAACATTGATGTACTAAGGCACATACATGTAGTTTTTAATGAGGAAATAATTCACGCTAGACACAATTTCATGAGTTTGGGGATCAAATCAGTCAGTTTAATTCATTTAGTTCATATTGTAATTGATTCATTTATATGCAGGTACATTTTGACATAATTTTAGAGACTTATTGTATTTTTTGGTTTTATATTAATTGCAGATTGAACCGCATCCGCATTCAACTTCTGAGTGTACAAAACCCGTCACACATTTTGCTATTGGTACAATACATGGGAAACAGTTAAATCGTCATCAAAGGAGTCCTTTTTTGTTGTCATCCGTCACATTAAGTTCAATAACAGCGTCATAAATCGACAACATGAGTACTACGTCACCAAGTCATGAAGATGATGTCAAGCCGGAAGATTCGGCCAGTCAGTGCAGCCATACGACAAGCACCTCATCCAGCAGAAGAGCCAGAATGGAGGCCATGGTGAGGAGTGCTGCACTTCAAGCAGAAGTTGAAGCTCTTAAAGAACAACAAGAGCTTGAGCTACAGGAATTGAGGCTCCACCAAAGGAGAACTGAGCTTCAAATGAAAACCAAGCTCAGCTGTGCAGAAGCGGAGGCAAAAGTTTATGCCCAGTTCGATGACGAGAAAACAAGCCCAGTTTCTCCATCTCAGTCAACACCATCTCCCCCTGATGAAGACTCCCCATCGCAGCCCGATCCATCACCGCATGATGATGATACAAGCGGTGACACAGTCCCATACCCCATTGAAGATCATCAATCGTCAACGCCGCAAGAAACGCCACCCCCTACCGAAGCCATCAATGAGATGTTGCGACAATCAAAGCAACAGCAGCAGAGCCTCATTGAGACATTGCAGTTACCGAAAGCAGAGCTGATGTGCTACGAAGGAGATCCCCTCAAGTTTTGGGAATTTTGGAGAGCTTTCGAGGTGAATGTAGACAGCACGACAATAAGCAACGCTGCCAAGCTGACAAGACTTCTTCATTACTGCAAGGGGGAAGCACGCAGAGTGATTCAAGCATGCTCTGTGATGGAGTCGACACAAGGTTATGCTCGAGCCAAAACCTTGTTGAAGGAGAGATTTGGAAACAAATATAAAGTTGCTGATGCATGGATGAAGAAAGTCACCCGAGGCCAAACAGTGTCACCCCATGATGGAAAAGCCATCAGAGAAATGGCAGATGAGCTGAAAGTCTGCTACGAAACCCTCCAGGCTATGGGCTACGAAAATGAGATAGCACACCAGAGTTTTCTGAGAGACATTGTTGAGTGCTTGCCCAACTACTTGCGCTATCGATGGGTCCGAAAGGTCAGAGACCTCGAAAGGAAGGAAGATCGAATGCCAAAGGTGAAGGATCTTGTGGCCTACATAGATGATGTAGCAGAAGAGGAGAATAACCCTGTGTATGGTACATCTACTTGGGAGAGAAGCCGTGATGTTCCTCAGAAAAGACGCACACAGCCGAGACAGAAGGGGTCCTTTGCAGTGGCATCTGTACCAGAGAGAGTAGTCACCAGAGAGTGTTCTCTATGCAAGGGAGAACACACCCTATTTGGTTGCCAGCAGTTCAAGGCAAAATCACCACAAGACAGGCTGAGTTATGCCAAGCAAGAGAGATTGTGCTTCAACTGTCTGCGCAGAGGTCACATGACATCAGCGTGCAGGCTGAACAGGACATGTACTGTTTCTGGTTGTGGAAGGAAACATACGAAATTCCTTCACATCCCGCAGACAATGCAACAGCATGAAGAAGCAGCGTTCCAAGCCAACACATCACTAGATGCCCCGGTACAGAATGGCTACATTGATTCAGCCGCTGAAGCAAGTTGCAGTAACGTCACAGGGGCCGGCAGGACCGTGCTGCCCATTGTCCCTGTTCGAGTGAAAGCTGCCGGCGGCAGTGTCTTCATCTGCACCCATGCATTGTTGGACACTGGTTCGACAAATACATTCTGTACAGAACACTTGGCACGACAGCTTGGAGTTGAAGGGGCAAAACAAAGGCTCAACCTGACAACACTTGACAAGATGGGCAGCTCCATAGACACCACAAGAGTGAGCTTGATTGTGGACTCGGGACCAGCCACAGACCATATAGAGTTGCCAAATGTGTTCACCAAACACAAGATCAACATTCAGAGTACCCACATGGCCAAGATGGAAGAGATAGCTGGACTACCCTACCTGCAGGGTATTGACCTACCGTTTGCAGGCGAGAATGAAGTTGGACTCCTGATTGGTCAAGATATTCCGAGAGCACTGATGCCTCTCGAAATAAGAAGAGGAAAGGCAAAGGACGGACCCTATGCTGTGCGAACGGCATTGGGATGGTCGCTACATGGCCCAGTGAACAAAGTCGGCACAACAGAGCAGAACACTCATGCTACCTCTACCTTCATTCAAGGAGACATCGGCCTGGAAGAACAGGTTCATAAGTTTTGGAAGCTGGAGGCATCCGATACACTACATGATGAAAGAGGCATGTCAGTGAACGACCAAAGAGCTCTGAAGATGTGGAAAGGTGGAATAAGCATTGATGGAGGACATTATCAGTTACCAGTGCCATTCAAGCGTCATCCTCCATGCCTGCCAAATAATCGGTGGTTAGCAGAACAGAGGTTGCAGAGTCTTGCAAGAAAGCTTGGCAAAGATGACAGTCTCCGTCGTAAGTACCAAGAAGGCATCGAGGACTTACTCAAGAAGGGGTATGCTGAGGAAGTAGAGAAACAAGAATGTCAGTCTGAAGATCAGGCTATCTGGTATCTTCCTCACCATCCAGTTTTCCACCCCATGAAACCCGACAAACTACGCATCGTGTTCGATTGTGCAGCTAAGAGCGGAGGTGTGTCTCTCAATGATGAAGTTCTGCAAGGGCCAGATCTGACAAATAAACTTACCGGAGTCTTGCTGAGATTCAGACAGGGACCAGTCGCCTTCATGGCAGATGTGGAGGCCATGTTTCATCAAGTTCGAGTACCAGTGGAAGAACGAGATGTGTTGAGGTTCCTATGGTGGCCATCCGGGGACATGACTCAACAACCAAAGGTGTATCGGATGTGTGTGCACCTGTTCGGCGGGACCTGGAGCCCCAGTTGCTGCAATTTTGCACTGCGCCAAACAGCCGATGATAACCAAGACCAGTTCAGTCCTGAAGCTGTAGAAATTGTGAAGCGCAATTTCTATGTTGACGACTGCCTGGTTTCCGTCGAGTCTGAAGAGAAGGCTGTGAATCTATCGGATGAGCTGAGAAATCTGCTGCAAAGAGGCGGATTCAAATTGACCAAGTGGCTGAGTAACAAACCAAGTGTCCTGAAGTCCATCCCTACTGAAGAACGATCCAAGCAGTTGAAGGGTCTTGACCTAAACCTTGATGCTCTACCTGTTGACAGAGCCTTGGGCGTCAGCTGGGATGTTGAAAGAGACTGTTTGGGATACAAGTTGTCACCTAAGGACAAGCCCCTGACGAGACGTGGGCTATTGAGCATTGTGTCATCAATCTATGACCCCCTGGGATATGCCAACCCGTTCATCCTGAGAGCGAGACTGCTACTCCAGGAGCTGACAAGAATGAAGCTGGGATGGGATGATCCAGTGCCAGAAGAGCACCGACAAATATGGCAAGGTTGGTCAGAAGAGCTAGCAGAGATGAAGGAGTTTGAAGTTAACAGATGTGTGAAGCCACATGGCTTTGGCACAGTGACAGAATACCAGTTGCATCATTTTGCAGATGCCTCAGAGAAGGCTTATGGAGCAGTGTCCTACCTTGTCATGAAGAACACCAGCAGTGAGCTACACAGCAGTCTGGTGATGGCCAAGTCTCATCTAGCGCCATTAAAAACAATGACGATACCTCGTCTTGAGCTTGCAGCAGCGACCCTTGCTGCTAAGCTTGATGTTGCAGTGAAGAGAGAGTTAGATGTACAGGAACTGATCTACTCGACATTCTGGACAGATAGCACCATTGTGCTGCAGTACATTCGAAGTACAGACTGGAGGTTTCGCACATTTGCAGCCAACAGGATAGCTACCATACATAATGCATCAGAAGCAAGTCAGTGGCATTATGTAGACACAAAGTCAAACCCTGCTGATGACATATCAAGAGGGATGTCAGCCGGTGAGCTTAAGAAGAGCACAAGGTGGCTACAAGGACCAGAGTTCCTCCTAATGCCACAAGAACACTGGCCAAAGGAACCACAAGTTATGGAACCCCTAAGACAGAGTGATCCGGAGCTTAAGAAAAGCAAGGAGCAAGTGCAGATATTTGATCTTGACAAGGCAGAACAAGCAATCATCAGACACGTTCAACGACAAGCCTACACAGATGAATACCAGACACTGCACACAACCGCCAACCCTGTGAAGAAATCCAGTCCTCTCTACAGACTGGACCCAAAAATCAACAGTGAAGGAGTGATGTACGTCGGAGGGAGATTGAAGAATTCCAAGCTGCAGACACAAGAAAAACATCCCGTCATCCTTCCAAAGAAGAATCACATTGTCAAGCTATTGGTGAGACACTTTCATGCTGTATCGGGTCACTCAGGGAGAGAGCATGTAATGTCATTAATGAGACAGCGGTACTGGGTGATCGGAGGAAGAACCACAGTACGACAGGTGTTGCATGATTGTTTTGTGTGCAAACGCCGATCAGCTTCACCCAGCATTCAGAAGATGGCCAATCTACCTGAAGACCGAGTAACCCCTGAGAAACCGCCATTCAACTACGTAGGAGTAGACTGTTTTTTGCCATTTTTGGTCAAGCAAGGCCGAAGTCAAGTGAAAAGATACAGCTGTATCTTTACCTGTTTGGCGATTAGAGCAGTTCACATCGAAGTTCTGCATTCTATGGAGACCGACTCCTTTCTCAATGCCTTGCAGCGATTCATGGCCAGACGCGGTCAACCAGAACTTATCAGATGCGACAACGGCACCAATTTTGTCGGAGCTGAGCGTGAGCTGAGGGAAGGGATCAAACGATGGAACAAGCAGCAGGTCCATGAATATCTTCTTCAAAAGGGGATCAGATGGAAATTCGACCCACCGGCAGCGTCCCACATGGGAGGACCCTGGGAGAGACAGATCAGAACAGTCAGGAAAATTCTGAACACTGTAATGAAGCAGCAAGTTCTGCATGACGAAAGCCTATCAACCATGATGTGCTTGGTTGAATCAGTGATCAACGGACGCCCACTTACAGTAGTATCTGATGACGCGAGAGATCCAGAACCCTTGACGCCAAACCATCTTCTCCTGTTGCGTCAGAACAGCGCATTGCCAGTCGATGTATTCCAGAAGCAAGACCAGTTCAGCCGTAAAAGGTGGCGACATGTGCAGTATCTTGCGGATGTCTTTTGGCGCAGATGGATACGAGAGTATCTACCCACACTGCAGCAGAGAGGCAAGTGGAACGAGCCAGTACGGAACATTGAGGTCGGAGACATCGTTCTCATTGTTGAGGATCAACCGAGAAACCAGTGGTCCTTGGGGAGAGGAGTCGAGATCTACGCTGGTGAAGACAAGCTGGTCCGATCGGCAAAAATAAAGACAAGGTCAACCACACTCGTCAGGCCCATCCACAAGCTATGTCTGATGGAGTCTGCAGAAGCCAAGGAGAGATGAGGTATCAACCTTTATATTGGAGTGCTTTACACCAGTTTTGGAGTACGGAGTAGGCAAGAGGAGAGTATCAGTGTGTCATTTGTGGAATTTGCACATGTAAATGATGTCATGCATTGAAGTATGACAGAGGTGCGAGCCTAGCGCCGCCTCTTTTTTGAGCCTTTGAATTGGCCACACTCCACCCTACATGTATCAGGCTGAATCGCACACACGTGGAGCACCGGAACAAGTCAAGAGAGAAACAGTCATCTCGGACAATCGAACATTTCTGAGTTGGACTGCACAATCTTCGAGAACATTGCAAGACATTTTTTATCCATGATTGACAATGATCAGAGTGCCACTTTAAGTTTGTCAAATCTAGTGATTTTCAGATTTATGTAAGTTGCATTTAAATGTTGCTTAATTGTGTTATAATTGTTGTTATTACTGCATATGATTACTGCCCAAATTAGATCTCATCTTGAAATTCTACTGATTGTGGTAAAACATTTTCAAGACACCGTAGGTATGTGATTTGTATTGCATGTGACAATGTTGCCAATCTCTGAAAATAGTTTGGATTTGATTATGCATGGTTTGAATTCCTTGTGAAATTTGCTACTGCTGAAGAGAAAGTTACAGTGGAATTCTGAGTAGATGAAGCACAATATGCATGTATTTCTATCAGATCTGGAGTCAAGTTGTAAAACAAGCAGTTTTTCTATTTGCAGTTAATTTCCCCATGATGGATCAGTTAATGTTCAGCGTATTATAGCCACATGTTAAAATGTTCATGTTTGTTATTACTAAAGTAGCAGTTTTAGAAACTAGTTCATAGTTCAAGTTAAAGGAGCAACATAGTTCAGTGTAATTTTAGTAAATGATCATAATTTAGTATTCTCATTTAAGGGGCCGGGATGTTGCGGGTAGGAAAGTTTTCCAGTTCGTTCGTGACGTCATAGGCGTGGAATTTTCTTGGTCAACAGAGGGCGCTCTCAGCGCGCCAGCATTGTCACATATTTTTGTCAAGTTTGTAGAAATCCGTCAAAAGGTTTCTTTGACTTTGCATCATTATTCGATACGCCCAATGTTGTGAGTACTTATAATTGTTTAGAGATTTAGAAAAAGGGTTAAAGATAATTGTGTATAAAGGGGGGTAATAATTATGGTCATTAGATATAGTTATTTTGGGTCAACTTTTGGGGATAAAATTTGGGTAGAATTAGCGATGCACGTTTTATACACGTTTACTAAATAATGCACGTGACACATGATTCTCACATCAGTTTCATCAGTTTATATGGATTACTGTCAACCAAGGTTAATTTTGGAGACTTGGATATTAATTTTAATGTAAACATTGATGTACTAAGGCACATACATGTAGTTTTTAATGAGGAAATAATTCACGCTAGACACAATTTCATGAGTTTGGGGATCAAATCAGTCAGTTTAATTCATTTAGTTCATATTGTAATTGATTCATTTATATGCAGGTACATTTTGACATAATTTTAGAGACTTATTGTATTTTTGGCGAGCTGCGAAGCAGATGCGAGCCTATGTAATACCAATTTCCGTCCGTCTGTCCGGGCGCCCGTCTGTCCGTCCGTCCGTCCGTCCGTCCGTCCGTCTGTCCGGCCGTCCGCGTTCAGATAAAAATGTTGAAGTTTTTGGTTTTAGTTAACTTGGGGAAAAAAATTAAATGCAGTTGTCATGTATCATCTCTAGGCCTATAACTTCAGTTAGGTTCATATCATTGCAGTAAATTTTATGATTTTATTGAGGAACTTTAATTCAAGGAAATGTTAAAGTTTTTAATTGTTACATGTACATGTATACTGGTATAACATGTACATGTGTGTATACCGGTATAACATGTACATGTACACTATGCATTTTGGGGATGTGCATGAGCTTCTGGTTTGATCTTTTAGTTTATGGGGTTGGAGTAGGGATGGGGTAGGGGAGGGTGGGGTGGGTTGGGGGATAGGGGTTGGAGTTAGGGTTTGCGTGAGTAGGATGAGTAGGGGAGCTAGGATGGGTGGGGTGGGGTGGGGTGGGTTGGGGTGGGGTGGGGAGAGGGGTTGGAATACTGGGTTTGGGTGGGGTGGGTATTTGTAGGGGTGGGGTGGGAACTTGTAGGGGTGGGGTGGGACAGGTAGGGAGAGGATGGGCATGGATGTAGGGGTTGGGTTAGGAGGGGGTTGGGCAGGGGGCGGGATATAGGATCGGAGTAGGGGTTGGGTTGGGGATGTGTAGGGATGGGTTGTTGTAGGGGTTGGATAAGGGGAGGGGGCAATATATAGGGATCAGAGTAGGGGTTGCATGGGGTCAGGTGGGGATGTATGGGTGGGGGAATGGGGTGGGCGGGATATGGGAATTTGAGTAAGGGTTAGGGTGGGGATGTGTAGGGTGGGTAAGGACAGATAGGGGAAGATAGGGTAGGTGGGTGTAGGGGGTTGGGGTAGGGGAGGGTACGGGTCAGGAGAGGGGGAAGGAGATAGGGATTGGAGTTTGGGTGGGGTTGGGATGTGTAGGTGATAGGGTGGGGATGGTTAGGGGAGGATGGAATGGGTGTGGGTAGGGGGTTGGGAGGGGGAGGGGGCGGGTTGGGGATGGGGTAAGGTTTTTGGATGGGGTTAAGGTTTGGGGGAGGTGGTGATGGTGCTGTGTCTACATGTACATGTATACCCATTCTTGTTCTGCATTTGTGGCGACTACACAAGATTTTTCCCATGGTAATACAAGTATGGGGAGCAGAAAACACTGTTGGGGCTGCACAAATCCACAACTGGGTCCTAATTACCCTAACAATGGAAAACTCCCCCATAATACAGTGACGGCTAACCTATATACACATGTATTTATTAGGTAATCTGGTGACTTTTTATGTTGACATTTAAAAACTGACCCCTACACCCTGGCACATCAACAAGAATCCTGATCCCCTTCCATCATGCCCATCCCCAACCCTACCTTCAGCCTCCCTTCCTGCCTTGGACAGCGAGCCATGGCGGCTTCGCCGTTCTAGTTTGGTTTTATATTAATTGCAGATTGAACCGCATCCGCATTCAACTTCTGAGTGTACAAAACCCGTCACACATTTTGCTATTGGTACAATACATGAGAAACAATTAAATCGTCATCAAAGGAGTCCTTTTTTGTTGTCATCCGTCACAACTGCAGACTGTCAGAATGCTTCTGTTTGTAATCGAACCAATGAGATTACCTTTGTGCTGGTCCCAGAGGGCCAACCTACAGTCCTCTTTGTACCCATCTCACTGACTCACTGTTGGACTGGCACCTGTGAATACGATTTGTTAAAGCCTCACCTGGGCCCCCAAATATCACTCAGATGGCTACTTTGACTACTTATACCAAGTTTAAGGGGCGAGCTAAAGGAAGCTTGCCAGTTGTCTTGTTTATTATTTCCTCGTCTTAACATTTAATACTATAGAAAATAGAGCTTCCCTTTGTAGCAATGTATAACCAAAGCTGCTGTAAATATAACTGCGTGGTTAAGTAACTATCTTGACAAGTGGGATAAGAGGATTTCGAAACAGTTGCAGGATAATTCTGCCCGATTGGGACGAACTGAATTCATGTTCAGTTTTCTGTACTTATTAGGTATTAGTGTCGAAGCATGTAACAGCTGTTCGTGTACAATGTACGCATGAACGGTGGACTTCGCAAGGACATACATGCAAAATCGTGATTTTTTTTTGAAATTTCTTCCCCCTTTGGCATGTAATTTATAAAATTATCAAGACATCTATTCAAGCAAAACGTGTAACGTATACATTTCATCAAAAAAGGCGCAAGTTTAAATTACTTATTCTTGTCTATTTTAATGTATTTTAATGATTTGAAGAGTTTTTTTCAAAGCGCGCTTTTTGAATAACGTGAGAAACTTCACGATTATGAAACTTATAACAGAATAAAACTGGTATTACATTCTGTTTCTCAACTTGAGTTTTCGCTTTATCACTTTTAAGTAGGGGAGGGGGAGGGTGGAATTGTAAATAATAACAAAATGGCGTCTTTTGCGATTTGGAAAAAAAATCTTCATTAATGTTCATGCTTTTGTTGCACCGATTTCGTCAGCTTATTACCTTACTTAAAAGACTACTTAATCAAAAAAATAAAATTACTTCATGTTTAGCCAATAATCATGTGGTTTCGCAGATTTGTTGATTGTCGACTAAAATATTTTTTTCTTGAATAAAGTGAAATTATTTGGATCGCATTGATTATAGTGTTTTGTTGTTTTGTACATGGACATAATTAGATGAAGTATATATTACATTGAGAAGATAATTGTTTAAAGTATGGCTATCCCTTTTGATTTCTTAACCCGGCTTCTTTGGTTTTATGAAAGCCTGTAGTTTCAGCTTGATGGGTCAGAGCAGGGTTTTATGATTGGATTGAGTCTTGGGTTGGGTTGGGCTGGACTTGTTGTTGGGCTGTGCTGGTCTTTGGCTTGGTTGGATGTGGGTTGGGTGTGGCTTGATGGGATGGGCTGGGCTGGGCTGCCTGGACTTCGATTGGCTGGGTTCGGTTGGGTTGGATTAGGATTGGCAGTAGGTTGTGATGGGCTTGGTTGGGTTGGGTTGGGCTGGGCTCGGCTGATCTGGGCTAGGCTAATCTAGTATGGCTGGGCTTGGTAAGTCTTTGCTGGGCTAGGCTGGGCTGGGCTGAGCTGGGGCTCCGTTCGGCTTGGCTTGTGCAGGCTCGGCTCAGCTCGATCCGGTACTAGGCTTTTTTAGTGGCAAGGTTTACGTAGAGTGTTTAACGGATACATCATGTGAAGTAAATATCCGTAAAACGTGAAGTGACTCTGAAAAGAACTTACGGTGAACACCAGTGTTGTAGTACTCGTACTCGGTACTCGTACTCAAGTACTACTCGAGTACTTTTCTTGGAGTACTTGTACTCGTACTCGAATGTCAAAGTACTCGTACTCGAAATGACAGTACTCGTACTCGGGCAGCAAAGTACTCGTACTCGACATGTCA